CAATCTGTGATTCTGAATGCCAGTATCCACACCAGCGCGGTGACTGACAGCCTCAGTCTCCTCAAACACTGTGTCAAAAAATCCGTGCTGTGCCGTGTCGAGGGTGTCGAAGAACAACCCAGTTAAAGTTGATAATTCTGTGAATGACTGCAATTACAGATTTCGAACAGAGATGGCGACAAAGAGGAAAAACGCAGGACTCCAGCTTCAAACTAGCCTAGCCTTGTGTGAACACATACACAAAAGTTCAAAAGTGTTTTGAAAGAAAATTTGGTTGCGCTTTACAGTAAGGTCTCATTATTTAATGTATTAACTAACCATGAGCAGTACATTTGTTCCAGCATTTATTAAGCTTTGTTAATGTTACTTCTTAAAAAAAACCAGCATGAATGATTTCTGAAGGATCATGTGAAAATGAAAACTATACAAAGGAACGAGGCCTGGTTGAGCTGCAGAAGACAGTGTTGTCGTGATGTCAAAGAGACACTGTTTTTTTTTCCCCATAAAGTTTCCTAAACTCATTTGTTTGACCTTTGTAAGAAAAAATGATGTGGACGTCGAAGATCTCAAAAATGAAGTTTATTACAGCGTAGCAGTAGCAGACAGTGGCAACTTGCAAGGTACACGGAGCACCTTGGATTCACCGGCGTCAGAATGAACCCAGAACATTCAAATCTTAAACCTTTTATCCTGTTACTGTTTTCCACTCTTAATGTAAATGAAGTTGCTCTTGTTGGAACCACTGTGTTCTTTATGTTAAGAATAACAAATTTGTCTTCTTTCTCCGCATGGAGCTGAATTTCTGTCTTAAATGTAAATTGAGGATAACAACAAAAGTGGTTCCTCTGTGCCCACATCTTTGATATTCTTTCAAATAAGAATGGCCCAATGTTTAAGGTGATAACATCTATTTGAAGCCCCCTAATCAAGATGGTTCTCAAATACCTGCTGTCGCTCCCACGCTATAGGTGATAACCGTGACACTGTGATACTATTTACATATTACTGAGATTGTAAGGTATTATTTCTATGATAAATAAGCTATTTTAAGTGAAGGAACATTTCAATATATATATATATATTGGAGTGGAAGTTGGATCGGAGCAGACTATAATTTCTTGTACCTTTCTAATGCTGATGAATTTAAAGTGGTTAATTTATTTTAACATTATAATCCAAAAGTTTATCTTTGTGTTGCAAATTTTATTGAGAACAGTTTGTTTTCTGTTGCTTTTGTAAGCTCTCTTTTTTGTAAGCTGTTAAGGAAAATTAACCACGGTTTTCCAACAAATATCACGATTAAATGGTGGATAATATCATATCTATAATGTATTATAAAATTACAAAAAAGCATGCCACTCTGAAACGTCCTGTGAAATCCGTGCTTGAAATCCGTTCTGCACGATCCTCTTGTTTGTTAACATTGTCAGGGTCTGAATCGGGTTTGAAATTGATACCATCATTAATATTTACACTAGTGAGGACATTTTCTGAACACGTGCTACACGGTGCTTATCACAACACATTTATTTCTATGAATATACAAATGTTCTTCTACTACTGCGTTTTTAGTTGGTGGAACTGTTTTGTTTGTTAATCATTCGTTGTGCGCTTGGCTTGCAATCACCAATTGACAATACAATACTATAAGTCTTTAAATGCAAGATATGTAAAGTGTATCTAACATTTTAGGTATCAAATACTTAAGTAAATTTAAGTAGAACTTAAGTTACTTAAGTAAAAGTACATTTAGCACAATCAAATACACTGTAAAAAATGATTTTTTGGTTAAGTAAATAATAGTGAAAAAAACCAATGTAATTTACTTGAAAAAGTTAGTTCAGGCAAGAATTTTAAAAACTAAGTAGATTCCATATCAGTACTTATTTCAAGCGAGTATAAATGAAAGTGTAATATCAACTCAATAAAATTAAGTAAAAATTACTCAACTTTTCTGATACTGGGGTTCCCATCATGCACTGGACCCTCAATAATTAATGAGGTTCATTTTGCACTGGTTTCCAGCTGTATTTACACTGTTTTATCATTGATTTTTGTTTTCAGTATTAGTAAATTGCCATTTTGTGACATTTCGAGTAAATATTTTGCTTAAAACGACACATTCAAACACAAAAACGACCCATCAAATGTTACCACCATTGTGTAAAACTGTCTACCAAGTATTGAGGTGTTTGCATTCACATAAGGCTTAAAGTCTGACATGATGTATATTTAATTACTTAGATGATCTAAGTAAAGAACATACTATAAATGACTAATAAAATTCAAGATAATTGTTTTAGTGAAGTGTAATACGGCAAAGGAAATCGGTAAATCAACCTTTTACAAGCCGAGTTAAAATTACTTATTTTTTGTAAAGTTTACTTAATTCCACATTCCAAGTAAATTTAACTTAAAGATTTCTAATTAAAGCTACTGATAAATATGTTTAGGTTTTTACTTGGCAAATCTTTGTAAATTTACTAGCATTTTGTGAGTGAGATCGTTTAGCAAGGTTTTTTCAAGTAAATCCTACTCCAAATTTTTTACAGTGTACTTAAGTATATCTTTAGTTGGACCTCATCACTATTTCTGGATAATTAAAGTGCATTAAGTACAAAATTTGTAGATCCAATTTAGCCAATTTATTTGAAATATATCAGTTTAGTATAGCAAAAGTGCAATTGCAGGGTATTTATATTAAGTACATACTAATGTAAATGTATTTGTTGTAGTCTTGGCATAAAATAATTGAATTAAAAATACATTTTGGTATATTTATTTTTCAAAAGGGTTATCTGTGGTAATCATCACAAATACTCGAAGATTCCTTTAAGGAAAATTCTTGAATAATTTGTTTCGATGAACACGTGCATGAAAAAGCATAGACTGCAGTAGTTTTGCCTTTTTTAGTATTGACTCCTAATTCAGCACAACAGCACTGTGTTTATAGTCTAGACTTTAGACTTGTGAGTTCAGCAACTTTAATCTCCATGGAGAAATTGTAACTTGATAACGGACTTCAACTCTTGCCACGGTGCAAGTCCTTGTGTGTAGTGACCCTGTACAACCTTTCTGTCCGTCACCAACAACCTCAGAACTGCTCCTCGGAGACCAGTAATCTTCAATCTGACAGTGACATCTAGAATCATTGGTAAACACAATATGGCGTTCTTAAAGGGTGCCTTAGGGGATATTTCTATTTTAACATGCTAGAAGATAGCATCTGACCAATTTGGCTAATTCAATTGCGATGCCTAGTTGTGCTTTGCCAATTTAGCAGCCATCAGATTGCAGTGCAAGTCATTTAAAATGTTTATGTCCTGGAGTCTGAATACCATTATATACTATGTCAGGCAATTTTTTGGGCACTGTACCACAGACCATTTGCTAATGCTTTGAAACAGATGGTGGTACATTTCATTTACTTCTAAGTGTACAAAGAAGCTATTTTTTTGTCACAAAGAACGCTTGTTCTCATTTAGATTATTCATTGATGAGGTTCAGATTGTATTTCAACAGTCCTGTGTTCTGATTCTCGTCTATTATTTATTATAAAACATGATGTCTAGTATGCTTATTATATTGAACTGCATTCCAGCAGTGCTTAAATACAAAATAAACCAATTAAAACAAATTGTAGGCTTCAGGAACTATATTTCTAGAGGAAATATGAAATTACTAAATAAAATAAGATTTAAATTTAAAAGAATAAGATTTAAACTTTTAAATTAGTATTACATTTCCTTTGTATGTCTTGCAGAATATACTAATATCCTTATAAAATAATAATGCACAATTTCTGTTCATTTTTTATTTTCATAAAATATTCTGTAAGTTCAATAACAGAAGAAATAATAGCTTTAATAAATTGCATTAGCCTATGGGTACGTTTATACACGACAACGATATGCTTAAAATGGAAAAGTTGTTCACGTGTTCAGACCATAGATGTCCTACTGTGGAGTCTCTATCGTCATCACCGGCGGCCATCTTGTCACAGGCAATCTTTCTAGCGGGCTCTGTGGTACCTGGTGTAAGATGAGTGATCAGCACGAACGCAAATACTCTTATCTCGTTGAAATCTTGACGGATTTACAAACGGTTTGGTTTCTTACAAACGTTATTAATGTGACTATAATTCTGGATGATTATTTATTTATACACTTCACTTATTCATAAGTATGCAGTGTCATAACTACATCTCTGACGTTTATAACAAACCAAACCGTTTGAAAATTGGTAAAAAATTGAGCAAGCTATGGTTATTTAACAAGTACATGCACCATTAAAACACAATGTTACGAGTCAGCGAACTGACTGTGGCAAGATGGCTACCAGGTGCGGACATCGACCTCCATTGGCCAGCAGCGTGAATGAGACATCGAGCCTTTATGTATATCTATGGTTCAGACGATACCGTTGTCAAAGCGCCATTCACACGGATCCGCAAAAACGACTAAAACGCTGTATTCTGCTGCCTGGCCATTAGATGGCGATGAAACACTATAGACTGAACACGTAATACACATGACAACGTCGTCTCCAGAGATTTGTGTTTTTGTTGTTTACACCCAGACTGTTTTCAATTTCAGGCACCCAAAACGCTGTTGTCGTGTAAATGAACGGCCAAAACGCATAAACGTTTTTAGTTAAAAACGGTGTCATGTAAACAGCCTGTTTTTTGAACCAGTTTTTATTTTTGCAGTGCTGTTTTGTTAATTTGACGCTAATGCCTACCGTCATGACTATATTCACAATTAATCATGTTATTACACAAGTATTACATTGTAATTACACAGTTATAATGTTATTACATAGTAGGTTGACTGTAAATGGTTTTGCTTAAGACAGGGCCTTTAAATAGAAGTCTTGACAGTTTTGTACGGCCTGTATCAATGGGGTTTAATTGCTGCGACCCCTTCATATCTCATGTATTTACTACTGGTGGGATTTACTGCATAAACTCATAGCTAGTTTTTCCATTCCCTCCTTTCCAGCTGCCCATTCCTGGCTTCAAACCTGACTCCCGCCATCCCGGCCATCGGAGGAGTGCTGTTCGTGTTTGTGATGGGGATGCTCCTGCGGGCGAGCTTCAGCGACCCGGGCGTCCTGCCCCGGGCAACACCAGATGAGGCGGCTGACATCGAGAGGCAGATAGGTGCGTGGAAACACAAGATCATCACTCTTCCTCTCTATCTTTCCTGGTTCATTCTGAGGGAATGCTCTCAGTTAAAGGAGACGGGAGACATTTGATGTTATTCTCTTTTCTCGTTCGATATGAATAATGCATGCTGCTCGCTCTCAGGTTTGCTGTCAGGACACTCAGAGTAATATGAAATCTGCTGAAATATTCATCCCTGGCGAAGATTTATGCTCCCTTAAAGTATTTGTTCATGTTATTCAGTCTGATGGTTTAATCAGTCACGAGTTAATGGTGGTTCGTAAGTTGCTTTGGGTATTATTAAAGGGCCAGAAAGGACAAAGATTGAACAGTCATTTCCTACTGTATTCAGAATTGTGCTGTGGAATCACTGCAGGCCAATAGGGCTGGGTAAAAAATATCGATTTCTCAATATTAATCGATTCTCTTTTTTACTAACCGATATCGATTCTTAAACCTCAAGAATCGATTAGTCATCCTGTTTTCATTTGATGAATGGAACATTTTAGCGCGTATCCTATCCAATAAATCGTAAAAATCTTTGTGCTTCGTTACTATTGTTATGAAATAAAGTCTCAAATTTTGAATTATGTCAATTTTTTTTTACGAAAGTCAAAAACATAAATAGCGTTTTGGCGCTGTGGCGTGAGATGGCTCTGGCTCAGCTCAAGAGAAGCAGAAGCACATGATCTTCTCTTCTGCCTTAATATCAGTTACTCCACCTTAATAATACCAGTTACAGCGCCAAATAAACATGGATTGAATAAAAAAGCTAACAATCCTTGCTAACTAGCGTTAGTGAAGCGGCCAGATGGATCTTTCTGCCTCCACCTAAGCTCCGCCCACAAAAAAACGTCACCATGTTTACCAACTGTAAAAGGGTCTATAGCTACAAATCAGTTAATTTTTATCTTCAATATCATAGGCGGCTAATGAAGCCTATAGGCTACTGACTCCCATAGTTCACAGCATTAGTTAAGAGATTTGTTTTCCTTCAGAAAATTTGCCATGTATTGTACCTGATATCCAAAATAATCAATATTGAATCGAATCGAAATTGAATCGAATTGCAAGCTGGTGAATCGAAATCGAATCGAATTGTGAAATCTGTGTCAATACCCAGCCCTACAGGCCAAGCCATTTTATGCCATTGCATATCAAATCACTGGATTGTTTTAATTCGCTTGTATATGAATCGCTGGTATAATTGAATGGAGTCACTGCTATAATGAGTTATCTGGTCTTTCGTTGAGACCCCAGTGGTGAGGAAGCCAGGAAGTGCACTTTAGCTCAGGTTTGTCATCTCGGGATATTGAGTTATGTGTCCATGCTGTTCGTATGAATAATATAGTAGGAAGTAAACACTGCTGTGAGTCCCGGTGGTGCTGTGTGCTGCGCTGAAGAGGCATTGCGTGTTGAGGGTCACATAAGATGCGACGCCATTAAAGCAATAGTTTACTCAAAGATGACATTTCAGTATCAATCTTCTCACCCCTTTAAAATCCAACGAATTTTCTTCTATGGGACACAAATGGGAAGTTTTGAAGAATGTCCGTCAAGCTCCGAAATTATAATGAAAGTAGTCCAGGATTCTGAAGTCATGAGATAGCTTTGTGTGAGGGAGACACTGACTGAAAATTAAGTTATTAGCAGCAGCTTCTTCGTCCGAAACTCTGTCTCCAGACTAGCTGACACCACTGATAACATATTACATTGGTTTTTGTGTATCTTGTGACCAATCATTGACATCAATTTTAATGTTTTGAAAAAATGCCTTTATTTAATCAAGTATAAAGTAAAAACAGTAATACTGTGAAAAATAATACAATTTAAAATAGCTGATTTCTAGTCATTCGTATCAAAATGTAGTTTTCCTGTGATCAAAGCTGAATTTTCAGCATCATTACTTTCAGTCTTCAGTGTCACTTGAATCATTTTGTGCTCAAGAAACATTTAAATATCAATTTTGAAAACAGTTGGGGTTCTTAAAGTCCCCCTGTAGTCCATAATTGTATCCCTTAAAACTCATGTTTGATCACCAAAATTACGTATTTAAACGTCTTCATGCCTTAAAGGAGTAGTCCACTTTTAAAACTTTTGCTGATAATTTACTAATTTAATTATTAATTTAGTTTATTTATATTTTAGTTTATTTATAATTTACCCCCGTTTGATTCATTGAATGAACCAAATGACTCGAAAAAAAGATTCGTTCATTTCATTCGCAAAAACCTCAATTTCTTTTCGACTGAAGAAAGAAAGACATGGACGTCTTGGATGACGTGGGGATGAGTAAATTATCCTGATTTAACTACTCCTTTAAAATAGCTTGAATGTAACTATCATTTAGTATGCGCGGCTCTATGAATATGCAAATGAGCCCCGCCTCCACTCACACAGATGCACTCGTTGACGATCACACGTTGATCTGATTGGTTACATGGTAGTTTGTGACGTCAGAAACACCAGCATTTTAAAACCACATTTTTGAGACTGTCTTTGGTTCGCTGCAGGTTTAAAGAGAAAATTCTCAGCAATGATTTCGACTTATGAATTTGTACATTGTTTGTCTTATAGCATATTGAAAACACAACGTAGACATATAAACAACATTTAAAAGCTGGATTTTTAACCACAGAGGGATTTTATTATTAAATGTTGTCCTAAAAAATCTTGTAAAAATGTTCGTTTTCACACTTTTTCTGTTATTTGGAATTAATTTATTTTGTAACAAGGTAAAAGTCTTTGCTTTTTTTCATGTTGATCAATTTAAGTACACAAAACAAGTATTACATTTTTCACAAAAAAAACCAACCTTTTAACCTTTTGAGGGCTTAAGTGCATGGAAAATTAAGTGAATAATGAATGGATTATTATTTTTTTTTAAGATTGACGCTCTGTATTTGGCACTCAATATAAGTTGTTTAACTTGTATAGTATAAATTATAATTTTGATCATTTAGTTTTACATTAATGGTGTTTGTAAAATGATCTTCATTTTAGAATGAACAATTGCTCTAAAGTAATTTCAGATTCAGCATCTGTGACGTGCCCGATTACCATAGGCAATCATTTTGATTGGCCTTTCATTTTGTAAAAACATGCTTGCATGTACAGTAGGGATTCACCGATAGGAAAATTTTGTTCAATACCGATAATTCTTTCAATTTGAAAACCGATATATTGCCGATAAATCTAAATCTAAGTTTTTATATAACTTCTGAGAGTCTGATCACAAAAAACAAAAGTCTCACCATTAAAAGCACACAATTATGATGTTCTCATTATAAGTGCATGTAGCCTATAGGGATGGGCAATGATTAATCGCGATTAATCGCATCCAAAATAAAAGTTTGTGTTTACATAATATATGTGTGTGTAATGTGTGTAATTAATTTGTATATATAAATACACACACATGCATGTATATATTAAATAAATATTTGCTTGTATATACTTTATATATATTTACACAATTAATATTATATATAAATATAAATATTTGATATATTAATAACACATTTTTCTTAAATATACACATACATGTGTGGGTATTTATATATACAAATTAATTATACACACTACACACACATATATTATGTAAACACAAACTTTTATTTTGGATGCGATTAATCGCGATTAATCGTTGCCCATCCTTACATTAACCGTATTTTACTTTTCTGAAGTGATTCCAATCATAATCGCTTTAATATATCGGCCAAATTTTCATATCGGGCTGATAAAGGTAACATCAAAAATGAACAATATAACGGTTATGGTGTTAGCGATATGGTGACATCTCTACTTGCATGTTGGATGTTTATGGTGCAAGACAAAATGACCAATGGATTAATTAAAAACACACAATTTTGACATAGTCATTATACAAAAGATTGCATATGCATTACACATATTTACAATGAATAATGTGATTTAGATAACTCATGCGCCAAAACACCTTGTTGTGGTAACCAATAGCATGACCCACAAGTCGAGTTCATTCCTTCACACTGACACACCACAGAGGACTTCCTCATCTTTTTTGGATCTCTGAATGGGTCTCGGGTCTGTTCTGGTTTCACAGATGCGACCAACGGCCCGAGCGGACCAGGCTACAGACCGCCCCCCCGAACCAGAGAGGTGCTCATCAACGGGCAGACAGTCAAGCTCAAATACTGTTTCACCTGCAAGATCTTCCGCCCGCCGCGGGCCTCACACTGCAGCCTGTGCGACAACTGCGTGGGTAAGCATGTGTGTGTGTGTGTGTCTGCAAATATCTTTATATAATAGTCAGCATCATGCAAAGAAGTGCTAACATTGTGCGTTTCTCCTCAGAGAGATTCGATCATCACTGCCCGTGGGTGGGCAACTGTGTGGGGAGGAGGAACTATCGCTTCTTCTACCTGTTCATCCTCTCACTCTCCTTCCTCACTCTCTTCATCTTCGCCTTCGTCATCACGCACGTTATACTGAGTAAGAGTGCCGACCGCCTACTTCCTTATATAACCTCAGCCTTCAGTGCCAGAACACATGACCGATCTTATCTTACCTTATTCATTTAGCAGCGTTCGGCAGGACAGACCCGTGACTTAGCAGGCGCTTTATGTGCAGTTGGAAATATAAGTGTGTAACTTTTTCTGCGTAGAGCGATATAGTCAATCTCGAGAATGTAGTTTGTAGACACTTATAGTAGTTGTGTATAGTTACAGATTACTTATGTGGTGATATTGAGAGTTATGAAGTCTGTGAAGTTGTTCAATTTAGTGTAGTAACTGACAAGCCTAATTACTTTTCTGTGGTGGTCTATGGTTATGGAAATAAATGACAGGGTTAAAATTTTTGATTATATCGCGGAAAAAGGTTTTGTTTTTCCCTGCCACTGGGCAGAATGAACCCTTTTTTTTTAGTGGGCTCTAACTTTTTTACTTCATTGGAATGGTACAAAACTTTACCAAAAAGGTTTTAGCACTTGCTGGGTTAAAAAAAAAATTAAATAAATTATGGGCACAATTGGAACAGGTTGAATGGTCCTGTAAAATAGTCACACTTGTGCTCCTCGTGGTCAAAAATGACCGCATTGGAAATGAATGGGAGACGAATTTTAAACTGTTGGTACTGCAGTCAAACAAAATCTTACTGAAAGCTAATTTTTTGAGACATCCAGCCCAAATTTTGGAGTTTCTTGAAGTTTTAGAGTAAAACGTGATTTTGAAAATATTTATTTCATATACAAATTTGAAATAGTTTTATTGTGCATTTTCATAACAATATACACGTAATAATTCTGTTACTTTTTTGTTCACTTTTTAAAAAAACTTTTTTCACTTCAGCAATAATCTGCCACCAAGTGTCGTCGTTGAAAAGAGATCAAACTTTTACGACAGATTAAGTTTGAAATTAAATTTTCAGGTCATTGCTCAAAAGGTGAAATACGGATAATGTATTTCATATTATAATGGATTATAAATAGAGCGTAAATATAATTTAGTATATATTAAAAAAAAATCCCAAAATCATAAAAAAAACATAAAATAAAAAACACTGTCAAATTTAAAATATAGTACATCCATTTTTATTGACAAAAAAACTTTTTTTTTTTTATTGACTTTTTTTTTTCCCGACTCACGAATTAAAAGCACCAGAGGTTTAAAGGCAGGGTTGGTAGAATTTTTCTTAAAGCTACACTGTGTGATTTTTTTTTTTTTTTTTTTACCCCCATCTAGCGGTGAAAAGGTATATGACCATCCAGTAAATATTAGTTTCTCTTCCTCTCAATTCCGATTTCGTTTTAACTCCTACGGTGGCCAATGTAGTCCAAGATTAACATGGCTTCCAGTTCGACCTCGTCCATGAGTGTTAACTCAAACGTAAAGTTGAGGGCTCAAAACTGCAGAAACTGCAGAAAAGTGTGTACCAGTCATATTCAAAGCATTTCAGAATCTTATTTTTGGTATTTTAAGTATTTGCACCAAAATGCCTCTAGGTGCTTCATCATTGTAATAGATGCCTATTGATCGGCTCTGATCGGCGCCGTTGACTGGCAGGAGGAAAGCGTGAGTCTGCTGACAGTGCAGTTTCTTCCCTGGGTGAAGTGAGGGAGAGGCTGTAAGCCTGAGCTCAGCGCTGTTTACTGCACACGGCTGATCAATCAGGCCGCGAGGGCAGGGACACTGGAGTGACAAATGGCTCCTGTAAGATGTTTATTGGACAGGGCGCACACAGTGCGGCTTTATTTACCCACGAATCTCTCCTCAGATGCCCTCTGGAAACCATTAGCATTAAACACAGTGGCTGACTTTGAAGCGGTCCAGAAAGTGATTGCATTGGGAGTGTCAGGACAGTGGCTTAGGGATTGTTTTAGTCTCTCTTAGTGCACCAGTGATGACATTAAATTGGAAATTGATGGTGCTTTGAAATTTTCATATACTTACAGATACTCCTTTTAAATATCCAAACTGTGGTTCTTCAAGGTAGTTCAGAAAACATGGTGTTGTCATTTAGGGTGCAATGGGGCTAAAGGCACATCCTAAGAAAAATGTGTTTTTCACTATTCCCATATTCCCAATCCTATAATGTGGTTTGTTTGTTTAAAAATCGTATAAATGTATGCGGTTTCAAGGTTAGCCTTTAGTTGGCCTGCCAACAGCATGGAGCAAAAGGTTCAAAGTATTTACACACATACTTTACCTAAAATAATATGTTTTTTAATAATGTCTGTTAATACTTGTTGAAAACAATCACTTTAGCAAAGTTTGTACTATTTTTACTTTATTTTGATTTAATATTTCTTTTATTTAAAAAAGTAACGATTCTGAAAGCATTGAATGAGATCCCATTATAATTTCCTAAAGCTTTACAGTAGTAACAAATAAATGTTTTATTATATGCTATGATTAATATCATAAAAAGCCAAAAATCACTGTTAATTAATTACATTTAATAAGAATTTAAACTATAGTACATTTTCATTTTGTAAATAACATGCAATTGTCCGAAAACTTACATTCAATCAGTTCGCACTTAAGCATACTCTTTTAAAGTATATCATTTCAAGCTTTTATCAACAATTATATATGGGTCAATATTTTGAGCAAAAAGCTGAGCAATCTCAGTTTTGTCAAAGACTAGATCTAGATTGGATTCAGAACGACCACAAAACACAGATGGAGTAGATCGAGTGCATCAACACCCCTAATGCTTTCCCAGTCCTAAAGCTCGTCCTGGGTCGACATTTCATTCAGTAGTTTTGATTTATATGCTGTTTAATGTTGATGATTGTATTATTTCCCATATGTATCTGCTTACATATACTATCGCTTGTTTCTGTGTTTTCTTCGCATGTTTTGATCCAGAGATTTGGTACTCTTTCAGAAGATGGGTAATAGCGCCCCCTACCCCGTATAACAGTGAAAACTAGAGCCAGACCGATATATCGGCAGGCCGATATTATCGGCCGATATTGGGCATTTTCCAAACTATCGGTATCGGCAGTTATAATGGCCGATAAATGAATATTTCAAAAATAAAATAAAAACGGACGAAACACGCTTGAACCATGTTGTGAGTGTTGGAGTTGTATAGTTTGTCCACCAGAGGGCACTCTACACCGTCCCTGTTGGCAACACTCATTGAGTTGGTCATGAGACATACATTGCTTGAATAACAATTAAAAGAACATCCCCATCAGTTCTCTTAACTCAAATAAGCATGACAAAATTTGTGACTATCATGTCCAGTTTTGCTGCTGTTAAATAAGCCGAGAGTGAAGCGGAATTAGCTAGTAATAGTTACGTTATGTTGTTACAGTGTAGTCCTTTTTAACTTTTAACAATGTGACTGAAGTATTTCTTTAATAGCGCGTGACAGTTCTAGCAATGAGACGTATCATCTCTCCTTGGCCTGTTATATTGAAAATGTATGTTTTACAATTTGTTGCGCGTTTCTGAAATAATAATAAAAAAAAATATCGGCCGATATATCGGAATATCGGATTTTGAAACCAATAAATATTTGTTTCGGTATCGGACTTCAAAATCCTTTATCGGTGATCTAGGTCCTCTAGTGAAAACACGAAAATTTCCGTCAAGGAAAGAGTTAAAAGAGGGGGCAAGGAATGCTTTGCCATATGCTTTAATTAGTGTTAGCTGCTAATGTGGCATATAGGTGTTCCACAAATCTGTATGATTTAGTGTGTCTGTAGACATCTGTAAGACAGCGGCTGGTTAATTTCTTATTGCAGTGACTCTGCGCTCAATATGCCGCCTGCTTTTTCATTCGAGACTTGTTTCATGTTCCTGTGACAGCTTTTCTTTGTTACATAACCAGTGCTTTTCCTGCAGGATCCAACAGGACTGGCTTTCTTAGTGCTCTCAAAGACAGCCCTGCTAGATATCCTTTCACTAAAATGTGAGTGTGTGTGTGTGTGCGCAATAGGAGTCTATTTCTGGTATTCACACTTCTAGAACACAATTACAGAAAAGCAGCCCACACTGACTTTCTCCACATCTTCATTGCTATGCGTCTGCACCGCTCTCTTTTCAATGGAAAGAAATATGTTATTAAATACGGTCAGTGGGAAGTCTTTTCATATCTGCGATTTAGCTTGAGAAGGAAACCAGCGAGACAGAAGGGAACAGTGATTTGAATTAGCGAGGGGACGTGGTCTCGCTGTCCTCTTCATTAGCGAGACCTGCTTCCTGCTCACGGTCAATTATTAGCTGGTCACGCATCATTTACTGCTTCATGATAGACTCACTCTCATAAGCATGAATGTCAACACATGCTAGTGCTAGCAAAACAACCTTTGCAGGGTAAAGGCAAATTGTTGTCTCAAGTGGCCTATTTTTGTCTGGTTTTTCAGTAAAATATCTAGTAGAACTAGATTTAGTCGTGAAGCAAATAATTATTTCCAGGAACATATTTTGAGTTTCAAAATATAAGCATATACATTTTGAGAGAGTATGCTACAAGCATTGTGTTTTCTTGAGAAAGCTAAAATACTGAAATGCTATTTAAAGGAGAACTCCGGCGCAAAATGAACCTTTGGTCTAATAACACATCGGTACCTAGTCAACCGTTCTCTGAGATTTGTTTTCATGATAATCGAATGTAAAAAGTTTTATCTCTAAAAACTGTTTAGTATATGGGGGCATAGAATTAGTAAAAAGAAATCGCTAGTTTATACCACTAACAAGGCTCAAAATAGTCCCACAGTAACATAATGAGGGTCCATACATGCAAAATGAAGCATTGAGAACTTTGTAAGTGTACAGACAGTTTAATAAAAGGATACTTTGTAAAGACAGTGCCCTTTGTGTATTGAGAATGAGGAGTTGATGTCACTGTACAGAGCCCCTCCCCTCTCCGCCATGTTGGTAGGATTCCCACGGCAAAACTTGATTGTTTACGTGTGTTTTTAACTCTGTAGTAGAGGAGTTTCTCGCAATTCTGCACTGTTTTACCATGCCTGGAAGTCACTGCTGCATTAAAAACTGCTCCAGTACCTCACACGAGACATATGGAAAACATAGGAACAATGGAATACAGTTTTTTAGGTTACCAAAATGGACACCGCATGAGAGATGAGAGTATCTAACGAGGAGACGCCGGATTGCTTGGTTGGCTAATGCCTTTAGTATACGATTTTTACTGTTTGCTGTGCTTTAACGAACATATGTAAAAAAAATGTTTTTTGAGTGCCTTGTTCAGTACTTTTTTATTCCTTTGTACTTTTTTATAAATGTTTGAAACAACTTGATATGGCTTAACAATATTTATTAAGAACTGAAATATATAACGTTACATATATATTTTTGGACAATATAATATATATGTTATTATAATAATATAATATATATAATATTATATAATAATACTGTTATTAGTGCAAAAAAACAAATATCTCGATGCTGCTTCTCCAAATACAGCTGTTTTGCGCTTTTGTGAGTTTGTTAGGTCCCTTTTCTTTTGCCTTATCTTTTTGCATTGTTTTACTTTCATCCTTTTTTTCTCGTATTCTTAGATCCGTCTCTGTCCTGCCAAAATAATAAATGCACGAAAATAATAAATGCGCGAAAATTAAATAGCTCTGGAATGTTTAGTTCTGTGAGGTTCTAAAGGTTGCCGCTGGTAACCTATAGCGTCTCCTACCATCATGGCTGACAGGCTCAGACCCCACCCAAATCGGCACGTGACTCCTCATTCTCAATACCATGGTATATACAGACGGGAGCCATCTTGGAAAACAGTCACGAACGTCGTGCTGAGTGAGCTAAACTGTATGAAGTTCAGTGAACTTCTGAACTGTATGAACGGCGTTCGGGGATCGACTTATCGAGACTGTATACACGAAGTGAACTGTCTTTATAAAGTATCTTCATATTAAACGGTCTGTACACTTACAAATTTCTCAATGCTTTGTTTTGCATGTATGGACCCTCATTATGTTACTGTGTTAGTGTGGGGCTATTTTGAGCCTTGTTAGTGGAATAGCGATTTCTTTTTACTTATTCTATGCCCCCATATACTAGAGTCATACAATAAACAGTTTTTAGAGATAAAACTCTTTACATTCGATTATCATGAAAACAAATCTCAGAGAATGTTTGACTAGGTACCGATGTTTTATTAGACCAAAGGTTCATTTTGCACCGGAGTTCTCCTTTAAGCTTATTCTTCTACTCAGACTTTTAGCTCGTCCTAGAGCTTTCATGCTAAAACTACCAAACTCGGGCGAGACCTTTAGATTTCTCTGACTTCCGTTACTAAATCTTATCTAACTGAACCGACTTTGGGAATTCCAGTATCAGCCTTTCGAACAATCCCAAATTTCCATTGACTTTTATTGAGGAGGTCAGAACTTTTTTATACACTACAATGCTGAAGGCCTGTTCACACTAAGGATAACTATAACAATAATGATAAAGATGTAGTTTTATATTAAAGAATATTTGAGTCGACACTCCAACTATATCGTTTCTCTGTGGCGTTATCGTTATAGTTGGAATCACTTTCATCAGTTTTTAATCCAGCTGATGAACGATAAAAACACTGACAGCCAATCAGAATCCATCCTGCTGTAACAAGCTCTAGCATTTAAAGCGACAGAAAAACACACGCCTAGAATAAACGAAATGATATCATCCGCTGGAGTGGATGCTAATATAGTTATTATAGCTTCATAGTTATCGTTCTTGGTGTGAACAAGCCTTTATAGAGTATTTAAGCTGTCTCTAGCAAAGCTTAAAAACTAGCCTAAGAAAACATACTAAAACATGCTAGCATGATTTAACAGTTTGCTAACATGTTGCTAGCATGTTTTAACACATGACTAGCATGTTTTAGTACGTTTCTTAGGCTATTTAAATATAGCTTCGTAGTTATCGTTCTTGGTGTGAACGGGCCTTTATAGAGTATCTAAGCTGTGCGCCTTAATGCAGAAAGCAGGTGCTTAACAAAAAAAAAAATTCTATAAAACTTTTGTGTACATATACTGCTGACATGATCAATAGAAATTCATCAAATGACAAAGTACCGAGCTTATAGCCGGGCATCTGTCCAGAAGCGCGGTGTAGTCAAGTGCACTTTCAGCATTTTAAAGATGCGATTGCAGTGGTTGAATGATGCTGTACAGACCCAGTATATCCAGCATACTGAAGTCCTTTAATGTGAGTCCATTTCTGAAGCTGTAAGTCAGCGTTTATAATCAGTGGTTGTTGTAATACATGTGTAGATTTGTGTTTTCCTTGACGGCTGTACTGTTCTGGAAGTGGTGGTTTGCTTTTTCTCCGTCTGGTCCATCGTGGGACTGTCGGGTTTCCATACCTACCTGATCAGCTCCAATCAGACCACCAACGAAGATGTGAGTACCTCTCTTTATGCTTTATCTCCAGTATTCATTAATGAAATAAACATATTGCTGTGGTAATAGTCCGTTTCAGAATAATACACCCAAAGATGCATTGGTCATAATGACCTGAGAGGAGACAAAACCAGTCATGCAAACAGGGTCCAAAATTATCACCTGCCAAGCCTACAAAAGAGACATGAGAAATTTAAAGGGGTAATGACACTAATGTATTGGGCAGTCATGACCTTATGGTTAGAGGGTCACACTGGTAATCCGAAGGTCACGGATTCAATTCTCAATACCGGCAGGAAATGTATGAGGTGTACTTGAACGAGGCACATAACCACCTTTCACTGTTAAAATTTACAATAATACATAAAATATATATATATATATATATATATATATACACAGTATATATATATGTATATGTGGAAAAATTATTATTTTCAACCCTAATTCTCGGTCTGAAATTATCTTTTTGAAGAGGCGGCTTCTTTAAGACTGGTCAGTAAACGGCCACTGTTAATTGGCTAACATCATTGCATAAGAAACAGTATCAATGCCCAATCGCTATTGCACGCGAGTAAGTATTTTAAAAACATTACCCATATGAAAACATAATTTACAGACAAAACATAATGAAATCATTTGATTATGGTTTATGATGCAGTTGGCTTTTTTGAAAGAGTTTATTTACAAACTCTTCATTGGACTGTGCCTCAATCACTGTATAATATCAGTCTTTAAATGAAAATATTTAAAGTGTACCTAGAATATAAAACGTGACGCACACCCTGACGAAGGCATCAGCCGCAATGCGTAGGTGTATCTGTCACCAATTTTATTGATAAAAGCCATGATCAAATAAGGGCTTTTAAACTTTTTTTCTAAACAGTTCTAGTGCCTTGGGATAATTAAGCTCAAGAACAAAATAATACTCCAAGCAACCAAAGAGAACCGAGATTTCACACGCTGTGCAGCACTTCATTTGCATTCTTTGCTGTGATGTACCTAAAATATACTTGCAATGTTTCCCTTTTAACGCAATCTAATATACAAGTATTTGATACACTGCAGGTTTTCCCACTTACAAAATGTAGAAGTCTGTAATTTTTTTATCATAGGTACTCTTCAACTGTGAGTGACGGAATCTAAAACAAAAATCCAGAAAATCACATTGTAAGATTTTTAAGCAGTTCATTTGCATTTTATTGCATGACATAAATGTTTCATACATCAGAAAAGCACACCTTAATATTTGGTACAGAAACCTTTGTTTGTGATTACAGAGATCATACATTTCCTGTAGTTCTTGACCAAGTTTGTACACACTGCAGTAGGGATTTTGACCCAGTCCTCCATACAGACCTCCAGGTTTGAGGCCTGTCACGGGACAATACAGACTTTCATCTCCCTCCAAAGATTTTCTATTGGGTTCAGGTCTGGAGACTGGCTAGGCCACTCCACGACCGTGAGATGCTTCTTAAGAAGCCACTCCTTAGTAACCCTGGCTGTGTATTTTGGGTCGTTGTTATGCTGGAAAACCCAGCCACGACCCATCTTCAATGCTCTTACTGAGGGAAGGAGTTTCCCTCCATCCATCCTCCCCTCAATAAAGCCGTGTTTCCACAGCAATTACCAGGAACTATTTGTCCCAGGAACTTTTTTCACAGGAACTTTTTTTCCCCCCAGACCGCTTGCTTACTGCGTTTACACCGCAGGCTAAAGTACCGGTCCGGGGCGGGAAGATTATGTAGTGACGTTGAACTGCGTGCGACTGTATGGAGGAGATTCAAGCTGTGCTGCTTTTGTGTGCGATTGGTATACTAACAAGGTAATTAACAAAACGGCAGAAAAGAGACGAGCACCCAAAGCGTATTCAGAAAGCTCGTAATGCTAGATATTAAAAGTAGACGTTTTATCAGCGGACCTATTGACCGGGAGATGGATGGGACGATCGCGTGTCATCGGGCAGAAATAATAGCGTGCTAAGAACCAATCAGCATGTTCAGCGCACAAGTCCCACCCCGAAAGTTCCTGAACTCTGAAAAAGTACTACCTCGCCAGTCGCCAGCAGGAACTTTCTGGGGGGAGATTTTTACCCGGAACTTCATTTAGACCCTGGTTCCTGCGGTGTAAACACAGCGAGAACCACCCCAAAGTTCCTAGTTCCTGGGGAAAGTTCCTGCGGTGGAAACGCGATCTTCCTGTCCCCTTTGCAGGAAAGCATCCCCAAAGAATGATGTTTCCACCTCCATGCTTCACAGTTGGGATGGTGTTCTTGGGGTTGTACGCATCATTGTTCCTCCAAACACGACGAGTGGACTTTAGACCAAAAAGCTCTATTTTTGTCTCAGCAGACCACATGACCTTCTCCCATTCCTCCTCTGGATCATCCAGATGGTCATTGGCAACCTTCAGACGGGCCTGGACATGCGCTGGGTTGAGCAGGGGGACCTTGCGTGCGCTGCAGGATTTAAATCCATGACAGCGTAGTGTGTTACTAATGGTTTTCTTTGAGACTGTGGTCCCAGCTCTCTTCAGGTCATTAGCCGCGTTTCCACTGCCGGGCTAGGGCCGGGCCAGGGCTAACAGCGAGCTGAGCTGAGCCAGTGGCCTCGGGCCTCAAGCACCGGGCTTGCGTTTCCACTGCCGGGCCAGTAGCCCCGCAGCGCTGCCCTAAACCCCGCCCCTAACACGCCTTTCTGTAAAAAAAAAAAACTGGGTGGATTTTTATCATTCTAGGGTGGTTTTGCTCAAACACTGCCAACACACATTTATGTCAAACACCATGTAAAAGTGAATTTTCCATAATAGGTGCCCTTTAAAAGGTCTGTAAGAGCCGGAATTCTTAGTGGTTGGTAGGTGATCAAACACTTATCTCATGCAATAAAATGCTAATGAATTACTTAAATCATACAATGTGATTTTCTGGATTTTTGTTTTAGATTCCGTCACTCACAGTTGAAGAGTACCTATGACAAAAAATGACAGACTTCTACATGCTTTGTAAGTGGGAAAACGTGCAAAATCAGCAGTGTATCAAATACTTGTTCTGCCCACTGTACTTAAGTATATCTTTAGTTTCAATTCGTTGTTCCAATTTAGCAGACTTTAAGTATACCAGTTTAGTATACCAAAAGTGAAATTGCAGGGTATTTATAATAAGTACATAAATATGTAAATACATTAAATTTATGCTACAATTTATTATACATTTCAAATAGTATATATATTTTTCACTAGGGAAATATTTATGACCTGTGCATTGTCTCACTTACCCACCTGCAAGTTAATTTTGGACCCTGCATATAAAGCTTATTTAAATCTGTCCCTCTGGATATAAACCCAAATCAAACGAGACACGGGTAAAGTTACACAAAGACAATTAATGAGCACTTCAAAAGACTTGGTTTTAAAGATCAGTGGGTATTTCTCACCGTAGCAAAAGATCCTTCTTTCCATCCTCACCCCGCTTCATGCCTGAGTTTATTAAGGCTGCCTGTCGTCTCTCTGTGTCTTGCTGTCTGCTCTGATGTTGGCAGCTTGTCCCTCTCAGCTACTGTAGTTCTCAACGGTCACATCACTGTTTCAGATCAAAGGTTCATGGTCATCCAAACGAGGCAAAGGCAACTACAACCCCTACAGCTACGGAAACTTCATCACCAACTGCTGCGCTGCACTGTGCGGACCTCTACCGCCGAGGTGAATACAACTAGGCTATTTTATCGGATATTGTTTACTTCATACTGCACAGCATATACTGTACACTGCTTATTGTTTTTTTGTTTGTTTGTTTGTTTTTTTTGTTAGACAGTATGCAGTGACCAACTTTTCTAAAAATAGTATGCTATGTAGTGCCACTACACCAACATCACTAACAGTGCCCTTCCACTTTTTCAATGATTAATTCTGGAACTGGAAGTATATTTTTCATTAATTTCTATCATGGGGATTAAAAATAAAAAGCATTAAAGAGTTCATTAAAGCATTATAAGCAGGGGTGCACATAACCGGTGCGCATGCTTGGTAAAAATGAACGATGCGCACCAGAAAACACAGAGGGAAGCACTTTTAAGTACTTGCATGTTTGGGGACACTGACACGTTTACCTGCTGAAGAAGGATTATTCTCCATCTCTGGGAAGATAGCAATCATGATTAGGGCAGCACGATAGAGAGTTTTAGCAGTTAGCAGAACATTTTAGCATCAATATTGCATCAAAATGTGCGTGTCCACAAAATAGTCATATCGCAGGATGTCATGCATGTATAGGGATCTTAGTTGATCCGTTTCAGTTCGGTAAATGTTGATGGAAGATTAGTAGATTTTCAGAAATGTTGAATGGTGTTTTCTTGTTTTCACTGCCATAATTCAAAGAATGTTATACTGGAGATGCTTGCCCGGATGTTCTTTCGAAGATTTGGCTTCTAAGATGTTCTTGCTCCGATGTAGCTTAGGTTCATCATTGAATCACACATGAAGATTTTTTTGTTTTTTTAAAATGAAACCTTAAAGATTTTGGTCCCTCAACTGAATTAAACCAATGTTGATTCAGTGGGGTAATACTTTATTTCAATGGTCCACTTTCTATTCTACTAACTTTAAGAAACTTTGCAACAACATGTCAACTAACACTCATTAGAGTATTCATAGACCGTAGTAGACTGTTAGATTGGGGTTCAAGTTAGTAGAATAAGTTGACATGTAGTCAGGGGCGTGGTAGTGGGGGGAAAAGTGGACCTGAGGGCCCTTTGAAATCCCACCAATTTAAAAAAAAAAAATTTTTAAAACCTAATTAGAATTAATTGGGCCCTCCAATTGATGTCATTAATAATAATTAAAAAAAAAAATATTGACCAAAATGAACTCAGTGCCAGGTTACTCTGGACCCCCTTCCAAATGGTTTAGTCCGCAACGCGTCGACCGCCCATAGACGCAGCGGGCGGCAAACAAGTAATAACGCAGTGAGTCTAGAGCCTGTAACGGGAGCCTGATCTGATCATGCTGTGCAAAAAGCCCAAATCGGGCTTTAAAAAAAAGAAAGAGAGGAAAGAAAAAGATAGGAGGCAGAATGCGGGGAAGCAGCTGAAGACTGCTTTCTTCCCAAAAGGTGAACCGAGTTTGCTATATGCACCTAACGTTAAAGTGAAAATTAAAGTTAACGTAACTTAGTCAACTCCAGACAGCTGCTGCTAATGCAGGGTTCCAGACTGCGACCAAATTGGTCTCATATGCGACCATTTTTTTGAGAATTTGATTGTGCGAGTTAAAATTGTATGTGATGTGGTCGCGTCGCATATATACGAGTGGACGCTCGCGCAAAAGAACACCGACCGTTGTATCAGCTGCTGCAGACTGCAGTCCGTAACTTATGTTCAAAACGAACGAGTAGGCTACATCATGAATCCATTTTCCAAACCGTGTTTTTGACTTATCCTGAATCACTACAGTATGCCTGTTATAAGTGTTTATATTCGGACTATTTTTTTATCCCGGATTCCCGGGGTTGACTCGGATGCGAAGTTGCCCAGTGACTGCGTGACTCGCCATAGACATTAATGGAGAGAAGTAGCTCCGGCAACAGTGTTCTTCCGCAAGACACATAGACGTCACGCGCGCATTGCACACTGATGGTGGAACACGCCAATTACGAATTCATGAATAAAAATATAAAAATGAAAATGTCTCAGGAAACAAATTATTACAAAATGCAGGAGGTAAGGAGTGTGAGATTTCTGATTTTTGAACTAACTTATAAAATTTGATAACGAAAAATCTTTTTTAGCTTGTTGTAATACTCAAATGTAATGTACATTTGAATGTTTAATGATTTTTAAAAGATAGAAATATGATGCTAATAGAAAAATGACAGACACAGAAGATTATAAAAATGACAGACACAGAAGATTATGATTCAAATGTAAATAGATAGATTGAATGTAATTCAAATATAAAATTCTTAAAATTACAGATTAAAATTACTGTCCAAAATCCATGAAAATCCTGAAATTTGGCAATGATAATTAATATATTACAGGTATTTATGGTAAGCCTTTGCTGGCTTTGGTCCATTAAAACCACTATTCATCGGCATGCATTGATTAATCCCATGGCATGTAGCAAAAAAAATAACCGCGACGAAATCAAATGCTGATGCGACCAACTGAGAAAGTTGGTAGCATCAGTTTAACCTGGTTTCTGAGGGTACAGTTGTCTCTCGTGTTCTTGTGTTCTCCTATTTAAAAATAAATGTTTTTCATTTAAAACTTGCATCAGTATCATGGATCAAAATGTTAGTACACAAAACCGATGTAGCCTAAGGTTTAAAGGTATTTGAGCACAAGTAGGCCAAATGCATCAATTCAGGTGGTGAATGAAAGAACCAGTCATTACTATAATCTGATTTTATTATTTAAACACTGTTTATATTTGTTTATATTCAAATAATTAAAAAAATACATTTCATTCAAAATTGAATTTTCACTTTGCTAACCCGCATCGTACAATGCCATGTGTAGGGGGCCCATTGACATTGAGAGTGTACAGGGCCCAGAATTTGGTTCTACGCCCCTGCATGTAGTTGCATAGCCACTTATAGTCAGTAGAATGTCTGATGAGGAGCATCAAAATAAAGAGTTAGCAGATATTAAGCAGACACGCTAATACTCTAATGAGAGTTAGTTGAAAAGTTAATTAAAGTTAGTAGAATGTCTAAAATGAATCAAAATAGTACATAAATAGTAATCCAAGTCTTCTAAAGAGATATGATTGCTTTATATGGTTTTAACACACACACACACACACTGGGTTAAAGGGGTAAATTATTATTTGATCCCCTGCTGATTTTGTAAGTTCGCCCACTTACAAAGAATTTTACAAAGGTCTATCATTTTTATGGTAGGTTTATTTTAACAGATAGAGACAAAATATCATCCAAAAAACCCAGAAAAACACATTATATAAAGGTTGTAAATTGATTTAACATTTGATAAAGTGAAATAAGTATTTGATCCCCAACCAACCAGCAAGAATTCTGCCTCCCACAGATTGGTTATGTGCCCATGTGAAACACAGATCAGCCTCGTCACTTTAAGAAAGTACTCCTAATGTCAGTGGACACCCGTCCGTATCTTCCATTACAACAGGGTTTCTCAAACTCCGTCCCGGAGGGCCGCTGTCCTGCAGAGTTTAGCTCCAACCCTGATCAAACACACTTGAGCAAGCTAATCAAGGTCTTCAGGATCACTAGAAACTCACAGGTAAGTGTGTTTGATCAGGGTTGGAGCTAAACTTGGCAGGACAGTGGCCCTACAGGATCAAGTTTGAGGAACCCTGCATTACAACCTCTCCACCACCATGGGCGAGACCAAAGAGCTGTTAAAGGAATGTCAGGAACCAGATTGAAGACCTGTGTAATGGGCTACAAGACCATCAGCAAGAAGATACTTTTGTTGGTGTGATTCGGAAATGGAAAAAAAATACAAAATTAACCATCAATAGCTCCATGCAAGATCTCGCCTCACAAGGTCAGGATGATCATGAGAAAGGTGAGGGAACTACACAGGAGGAGCTTGTTAATGATCTCAAGGCAGTTGGGACCACAGTCACCAAACAAACCATTGGTAACACAAGACGTCCAGCCGCTCAAGAAGGCACATGTCCATCTGAAGGTTGCCAATTGAAAAAAAAAATGATTCAGAGAAGGCTTGGGAGAAAGTGCTTGAGCTCTTTGACATCAACCCAACCCCAAGAACACCATCCCTGCAGTAAAGTACGGTGGTGGAAACATTATGCTCTGGGGCTGTTTCTCTGCTAGGACGACTTCACTGTATTGAGGGGCTGATGGACGAGGGCATGTACTGTAAAATCTTTCCAAAGAGTGGCACGTTAAGGTCCTATAGACCCTCCAGACCTTAATCCTATAGAAAATCTGTGGAGGGAGCTTAAACTTCCGAGTTGCAAAGCGACAGCCAAGAAACCTTAAGGATTTAGAGAGGATCTATAAAGAGGAATGGACCAAAATCCCTCCTGAGATGTGCAAACCTGGTGACCAACTACAAGAAACGTCTCAACTCAGTACTTGGTGGAGAAACCCTTGTTTGGCAAGTACAAAGGCATGTTTTGCTTGGGGATCAAATACTTATTTAACTTACTGAAATGCAGATCAATTAATAACCTTTATATAATGTGTTTTTTTTTTCTGGATTTTTTGGTCGATTTTCTGTCTCTATCCGTTAAAATTAACCTACCATAAAAATGATAGATCCTTCATTTCTTTATAAGTGGGTGAATTTACAATATCAGCAGGGGACCAAATAATTATTTCCTCCCACTGTATGTATGTATGTATGTATGCATGTACACTCACACTCACACAAAATGAATGTTCTGAGTGCTTGACATGCAAGAACCAATGAGGTTAAACAGCTCAATTCCAACACAATCTAATGGCAGTTCATGACCATTTAAGGTACTGGTGAATTGGTGGGTAATTTGTGTGAATTTGTACGTTTTTGTCCGATCAGATAAATTGTCCTTTCCACATCCCTACAAAGCTTTGTGTTCTTTACATCATTCCTAACTCTGTATCAGAGAATTTAATTGCCAGTCGACAGAAAAAGTCCATTTCAAATTAGATAGTCATCAACTTCCATAGAAAATCATTATCCAGGCAAGATATCAGTCAAGCATTTCTTGCTGATCTTTTAAAAAGATCGGTGAACTCAGCAGGTTTCTCGCTCATTCATTTAAATATGAGGTAAAAAAACAATCAGCATTCTCGCTCCAGGAAGTGCTAATATCTTAGATAACCGAGAAACGTTGGCGCGTGAGGAGGCCTGCTGACGTCGAAACCTGCTCACTCACCCACACAAGAGTTCTGCTCGCCATTAATGAGTTTCTCATGAACACAAAGCAGAAGTGGGCACAGCATCACTGGCTGCCATCTGCTCTGTGTGTGTGGGCATGTTGAGTTGGAGGAGGACTACACACGCGCATTCTCTTCTCTCCACCTCCTTTACCCACGCTCCCTGACTCACAGTTGGAATGTATCATCATCCACTTCCTTTCTCTTTGCAGTTTGATTGACAGAAGAGGTTTTGTGCTACCAGACACCCCGCAGCCCGTGGCCCAGACAAACGGCACCGGCGCCTGCCCCCCCAATCAGGTCCAGAGTCACATGGTAAGCCTCCGTACCCTGACCTGTGTGTGTGTGTCCAGTCAGCTGTACTTCAGCCGTTATAATGAAGCCATTTATGTTCAAACCACTTCAAGATTTTAGCACAGCATTTGAAATATATAGTGAAGTCTGAGACCACACTGAAAGTCTGGAATTCAGTGTTTTACACACAGTTCCCAGCCTGAGTGCTGCAATTGTAAAAGGGGGAAACACTAAAAAAAAACATATTCATTTTTCAAAAAAGGAAAAAGTACACTACCATTTAAAAAAACTGTTTTTGTTGCTTATTTTATCCAAAAATATTTTATAATATAATTGTATATAATATTATTTTGTGTGTGTGTGTGTGTGTGTGTGTGTGTGTATATATATATATGTGTGTGTGTATATATATATGCATGTATATATATGTGCATATAAATATGTATATATGTGTGTGTATATATATATATATGCACACATTTATAAAATATGTATATATATATATATATATATATATATATATATATACACATGTATTAAATATGTGTGTGTATATATATATATATATATATATATATATATATATGTGTGTATGTATATAGATGTACATATATGTGTGTATATATATATGTATATATATATATATATACACTCACCGGCCACTTTATTAGGTACACCTGTCCAACTGCTCGTTAACACTTAATTTCTAAGCAGCCAATCAAATGGCGGCAACTCAGTGCATTTAGGCATGTAGACATGGTCAAGACAATCTCCTGCAGTTCAAACCGAGCATCAGCATGGGGAAGAAAGGTGATTTGAGTGACTTTGAACGTGGCATGATTGTTGGTGCCAGAAGGGCTGGTCTGAGTATTTCAGAAACTGCTAATCTACTGGGATTTTCACGCACAACCATCTCTAGGGTTTACAGAGAATGGTCCGAAAAAGAAAAAAACATCCAGTGAGCGGCAGTTCTGTGGGTGGAAATGCCTTGTTGATGCCAGAGGTCAGAGGAGAATGGCCAGACTGGTTCGAGCTGATAGAAGGGCAACAGTGACTCAAATAACCACCCGTTACAACCAAGGTGGGCAGAAGAGCATCTCTGAACGCACAGTACGTCGAACTTTGAGGCAGATGGGCTACAGCAGCAGAAGACCACACCGGGTGCCACTCCTTTCAGCTAAGAACAGGAAACTGAGGCTACAATTTGCACAAGCTCATCGAAATTGGACAATAGAAGATTGGAAAAACGTTGCCTGGTCTGATGAGTCTCGATTTCTGCTGCGACATTCGGATGGTAGGGTCAGAATTTGGCGTCTACAACATGAAAGCATGGATCCATCCTGCCTTGTATCAACGGTTCAGGCTGGTGGTGGTGGTGTCATGGTGTGGGGAATATTTTCTTGGCACTCTTTGGGCCCCTTGGTACCAATTGAGCATCGTTGCAACGCCACAGCCTACCTGAGTATTGTTGCTGACCATGTCCATCCCTTTATGACCACAATGTACCCAACTTCTGATGGCTACTTTCAGCAGGATAATGCGCCATGTCATAAAGCTGGAATCATCTCAGACTGGTTTCTTGAACATGACAATGAGTTCGCTGTACTCAAATGGCCTCCACAGTCACCAGATCTCAATCCAATAGAGCATCTTTGGGATGTGGTGGAACGGGAGATTCGCATCATGGATGTGCAGCCGACAAATCTGCGGCAACTGTGTGATGCCATCATGTCAATATGGACCAAACTCCCTGAGGAATGCTTCCAGCACCTTGTTGAATCTATGCCACGAAGAATTGAGGCAGTTCTGAAGGCAAAAGGGGGTCCAACCCGTTACTAGCATGGGGTACCTAATAAAGTGGCCGGTGAGTGTATATATATATATATATATATACATGTATGTATGCATGTATGTATGTATGTATATATGTGTTTTTTTTGTAAATATATATATACACTCACCGGCCACTTTATTAGGTACCCCATGCTAGTAACGGGTTGGACCCCCTTTTGCCTTCAGAACTGCCTCAATTCTTCGTGGCATAGATTCAACAAGGTGCTGGAAGCATTCCTCAGGGAGTTCGGTCCATATTGACATGATGGCATCACACAGTTGCCGCAGATTTGTCGGCTGCACATCCATGATGCGAATCTCCCGTTCCACCACATCCCAAAGATGCTCTATTGGATTGAGATCTGGTGACTGTGGAGGCCATTTGAGTACAGCGAACTCATTGTCATGTTCAAGAAACCAGTCTGAGATGATTCCAGCTTTATGACATGGCGCATTATCCTGCTGAAAGTAGCCATCAGAAGTTGGGTACATTGTGGTCATAAAGGGATGGACATGGTCAGCAACAATACTCAGGTAGGCTGTGGCGTTGCAACGATGCTCAATTGGTACCAAGGGGCCCAAAGAGTGCCAAGAAAATATTCCCCACACCATGACACCACCACCACCAGCCTGAACTGTTGATACAAGGCAGGATGGATCCATGCTTTCATGTTGTAGACGCCAAATTCTGACCCTACCATCCGAATGTCGCAGCAGAAATCGAGACTCATCAGACCAGGCAACGTTTTTCCAATCTTCTTTTGTCCAATTTCGATGAGCTTGTGCAAATTGTAGCCTCAGTTTCCTGTTCTTAGCTGAAAGGAGTGGCACCCGGTGTGGTCTTCTGCTGCTGTAGCCCATCTGCCTCAAAGTTCGACGTACTGTGCGTTCAGAGATGCTCTTCTGCCCACCTTGGTTGTAACGGGTGGTTATTTGAGTCACTGTTGCCCTTCTATCAGCTCGAACCAGTCTGGCCATTCTCCTCTGACCTCTGGCATCAACAAGGCATTTCCGCCCACAGAACTGCCGCTCACTGGATGTTTTTTCTTTTTCGGACCATTCTCTGTAAACCCTAGAGATGGTTGTGCGTGAAAATCCCAGTAGATTAGCAGTTTCTGAAATACTCAGACCAGCCCTTCTGGCACCAACAATCATGCCACGTTCAAAGTCACTCAAATCACCTTTCTTCCCCATACTGATGCTCGGTTTGAACTGCAGGAGATTGTCTTGACCATGTCTACATGCCTAAATGCACTGAGTTGCCGCCATGTGATTGGCTGCTTAGAAATTAAGTGTTAACGAGCAGTTGGACAGGTGTACCTAATAAAGTGGCCGGTGAGTGTATATGTGTGTATGTGTATGTATATATATATATATATATATATATATGTGTGTGTGTGTGTAATGTATATATATATATCACTTTATATTAGGGACCAATTCTTACTAACTGAACCAATTCTTACTAAATAACTAATTATTAACTATGACTTTTGCTCAATAAGCTCCTAATTAATGCGTATTAATAGTTAGTAAGGTAGTTGTTAAGTTTAGGTATTGTGTAGGATTAAAAGATATAGATTATGGTCTACATAGAAATAGAACGTTCAGAAGAACAACATTTATTTTAAAGGATAATAATCAAATCTTTACAGTTTTCACTTCCACATTTGTTCAATTTAATGCATGTTAAATTGCACAAAAAAAACAAACAATTCTGACCCCAAACATTTGAATGCTAGTATAATAAAAATACACATAAAATAAATATATACATATAAATACATATAGAACAAATATATATATATATATATATATAATAATTATTATAAATTATTACAAAATAAATACATTTTCAACTCAAACCTTTTTGTCAAGCTGATTATATGATTTGTAAATATATTCATTTAAAAATGCAAAATATAAGCATTTTCATTAGTGGTCTCAGATTTTTGGACCCAACTGATTTGCTCAACCCAACTGTGTGTTCGGACATGAATCTCTCTCTCTCTCTCTTTTGGCTGCTTCGGATTATCTGTTTATTTGGCACAGGTTTACGCCGAATGCCCTTTTTGATGCAAACTTCCCAACTTTCCACCTCAGTGGCTGGGATACTTATTTTGACTTGAATCTACTCAACATAACGCACTGATCATGATAGACCCGTGTTTTTGGCACAGACGTGATCAGTGACGTAATTCTCTGATCCATTTATTATACATGCATTGACAGCAGCATTAATGTGATTTGGAGACGGTGTGGGCTGGCGTGAACAGATCAGCGCTCATGAATACTGATGGCTCACTTTCTAGATTCAGTTTCATCATTGATTTGATGGCAATTATTCAATCCCTTAAGGGATGCAGTGTTTGCGTTGAGTATGCTTTCAATCATAGATTTTAAATTGTATTTTTATAGCGTAAATCTTGGTGACATTTTCTAAAATAATAATCTCTGGAAAGATTCATCCATTATCTGTAGAGATGATTAGATGTGTGAATCTTACAAAAATCGACCTGGTCACATTTCACCTTAATCATGAAGAAAATAATGTTCATTAATTGTGGCTTTACATTACAGCTTAACACACACACTACTGTCCAAAAGTTTGGGACATTTCTAATTCCAATAAATTCTGTTCTTTTGAACTTTCTATTCATTGAAGGATCCTAAAAAATAAGTAGTTTCCACAAAAATATTAAGCAGCAAAACGCACAATTGAAATTACATCAAAATTACATGAAAAAAACCCATCAAAAAAGCATATTAGAATGATTTCTAAAGGATCATGTGACTCTGAAGACTGTATAGCTTTGATCACAGGAATATTACTGTAAATGTTACTGATTACAAAAAAAATCAGCCTTGGTGAGCATAAGAAACTTCAAAATTAGCATGAAAACATTTTAAAAAATCTTTATTTAATTTCCATGCTTAATTTTCATGGAAAAAAAATCGCTTTATCTTAATGGTCCAAAAATAGGCTTTTTCCATTTAAAAAAAATATACTGTCGTCTTACTTTTGATTGAGGTGAAATATGACATAGGTTTTACTAACATAATTTTATATTCTTTTTCTGTCTTTCTTTCTACTTTTGGTCAGAACAATCTATAACCTTTTAAATCTTAACCACAACCAGTCTTATCTGACCCAGGGCTCAAAAAAAGCTGTATCCAAAATATACAATGCCAAAATGGACTGGTTGCTTGATTGGTAGACCATAAACAAAACCACGCCAGCATCTAAAACGCAACATATGCTGGTGACCAACAGGGAAGTGGGTTTATGATACATAGTAATCACACACCTCTTCTCAACAATTTGCACAATTTAAGGTATCATTCCTATCCGTAGCAGTTTGGAGCCCTGTGACTTTATTTTTCTGTAACACTTTTATTCTTTGTTGGGTCTGACTTCCTCCCGGCTTTCCCTTTTCTCTTTCTGTCCTTCATCCTTCCTCCTAGTGTGCTCAAGACCAGTGCATTCAGAGCACCAAATTCGTTTTGCAGGCCGCCACCAACCCGCTGCTCCACAGTCAACCCATCATTCTGGGCGGGGGCCCGACCCTGCAGGCCAAGAGCTCTATGGGTGGCCCGTGCTCCACTCTGAGCCCCTCTCAGCCCTCGCTGCCCTCCTCGATCCCCGGCCTCAGCTGTGGAGGAGAGCTGTTGGCCCTGCGGGACTCTGAGATCCACTGTCACCATCACCTACACCATCAACATTTCATCAGCCCGGAGGAGACGCCCTCCCCACCCGCAGCTCTGCCCTGTGCCACCCATCTGGGTCACCATGTTCACCCGGCACAGCTCTTCAACCCGGTCAGCCAGGACTCGCTTCATGAAGACTCAGTGCGGGGTTTGGTGAAGCTGAGTTCAGTGTGAGCTGTTTTTAATGCCGTCCTGCTGAACTGGACCACAAGCCATACGGTACTTTACACTCGAGCAACAGCTTCTACTGGACTTTCTGATACTGAGTCAGCCGCCCGAACAACTTCCTGAGTATCAAGTGAGGACCAAAGCTTGTCTTCCAGCTCTAGTATTACTCAACTGAGCTGGGTTTTTTTTTTTTTTTTTTTTTTTGTAATGGAAGCTTATTTCTGCCACAGAATAAAAATATAAAAAAGGTAATTGCAACTTTCTCATAATTCTTACTTTTTGAATTCTGAAAAAAAAGTCTGAACTGCAAGATATAAACTCAGAATTCCAAGAAAAAAATCTAAATTGTGAGATGTTAACTAAGAATTCCAAGAAAAAAGTCTGAATTGTGAGATGTAAACTCAGAATTCAGACGAAAAAGTCTGATGTGCAAAATGTAAACTTAGAATTGTGAGATATAAACAGAATTACGAAGGGGAAAAAATCTAAATTGCAAGAGGTTAACTAAGAATTCCAAGAAAAAAGTCTGAATTGCGAGATTTAAACTCAGAATTCCAAGAAAAAAGTCTGAATTGAGAGATGTAAACTCAGAATTCCAAGAAAAAAGTCTGAATTGCAAGATGTAAACTTAGAATTCTGAGAAAAGTCTAAATTGTGAGATATAAACTTGAAATTCCAAGAAAAAAAATCTAAATTGTGAGATGTAAACTCAGAATTCCAAGAAAAAAGTCTAAATTGAGAGATGTAAACTTAGAATTCCGAACAAAGTCTAAATTGAGAGATGTAAACTCGGAATTTCAAGAAAAAAATTCTAAATTGTGAGATGTTAACTCAGAATTCCAAGAAAAAGTCTGAATTGAGAGATGTAAACTTAGAATTCCGAGAAAAGTCTAAACTGTGAGATATAAACTTGAAATTCCAAGAAACAAAATCTAAATTGTGAGATGTTAACTCAGAATTCCAAGAAAAAAGTCTGAATTGAGAGATGTAAACTTAGAATTCCGAGAAAAGTCTGAATTGAGAGATGTAAACTCGAAATTCCAAGAAAAAAGTCTGAATTGCAAGCTGTAAACTCAGAATTCCAAGAAAAAAGTCTAAATTGAGAGATGTAAACTTAGAATTCCGAACAAAGTCTAAATTGAGAGATGTAAACTCGGAATTTCAAGAAAAAAATTCTAAATTGTGAGATGTTAACTCAGAATTCCAAGAAAAAAGTCTGAATTGAGAGATGTAAACTTAGAATTCCAAGAAAAGTCTAAATTGTGAGATATAAACTTGAAATTCCAAGAAAAAAAATCTAAATTGTAAGATATAAACTCAGAATTCCAAGAAAAAAGTGTAAATTGAGAGATTTAAACTTAGAATTCCGAGAAAAGACTAAATTGTGAGATGTAAACTCGGAATTCCAAGAAAAAAAAATCTAAATTGTGAGATGTAAACTCGGAATTCCAAGAAAAAAAATCTAAATTGTGAGATGTAAACTCAGAATTCCAAGAAAAAATTCTGAATTGCGAGATGTAAACTCCGTATACCAAGAAAAAAAGTCTGATAATTGCGAGAAAGGTCCAAATTGAGAGATGTTAACTCCTGATTCCAACAAAAAAAAGTCTGAGAATTCCAAGAAAGTCTAAGTTGCGAGATGTAAACTCAGAATTGGGAGAAAAAAAGAAAAATGTGCAATTCTGAGAAAACGTCATAATAATGAGTCACAATAACCTCATTTATATTCAGTGGCAGAAATAAGCTTCTATGTTTTTTCAATAGCAGCCACCCTTAAAGTGGCTGCTATTGACTTAACCTTTTTCCAAGTATTTTTCCCATTCATTTCTCCATTTAAGGTTTAAATAAATAAAAGCCTTAAACCAAATCATTACAAATTTAGATTTGAAGAAAAAAATGGAAAGGTACAAGAGAGCATGAACTACTCCTCCTATGAAGCATTGCGAACGACATAATCAAAAAAAAAAAAATAAACTACGGTATAATATAAAACAACACCTTTTAAGCTCACTACAAAATAATCTGCCTCTGTTGTAATTCACAATGCTGCATTGCAGTGACCGACCGTTGCTGAGCACTTTTGCAGTGATTTACGTTTCCATAGTAACAATGACTCCTCTGGTTGGTTTCTTTCTATTCAAGATTACAGTGTAGTGGGATTCGGCTATTAAAAATATCTTTAAAAAAGACATTGCAATCACTGACTAATGGCTCCTACAGCAGCATATCTTGACATTTAAAAGGCTCGTAAAAGGATTTTTTGCGATAGGAGGGTTAGAATTCACTTCCTGTATGGAGAAAATAAATGGGAGTTTTACTTTTGGAGGCTGACTGTTGTGTTCTTGAGGCGTCGGGTCAGCCCATGAGCGGGATCGGTTCATTTGTGGTCAAGTATTCCCTGAACTGGTGAGACAACAGAGAATGACCTCTTCGGGTTTCGTCTGTTTGTACAGCCTGTGATTCAGACTCACACAAACTCTGTCCTGACAAAAGTCTGACACGTTTGGTCATACAGTGATAGAGAAAGACACACTTTAATGCGACATCACTGCCTTTATCTCTCTCGGGGGGTTCTGTCGACAATATTAGTGGTATTATCTATGATAATTATGCTTTGGTTATATATTTGGTTATATATTGCATCAAATTTAAACCAGGTGCCACTACAATATGGTCATGTGATTATGTGCCAAAATGCAGTTTACTGGTTTTCAGCGACAAAAGTGGATTATTGTGGATGTTAATAAATTCACAACTTTTTTCAAACAAAGCTCTGATTGGTCTTTATTTACTTGTTCTATGTGCTGTGATATCTTTACTGATATAAAGTAAATGTAAGATTCATTTACTGGACTGAAGCATTTTAGGTTTGCATGATTTGCTACATCGCTTAAATGTTGTATTTGTAAAATGTTTCAAATATCAGGCTTTTGAGGAACTTTTATTTGTACATTTCTCAGTCATCATTGCATTGTTTAAACATTATGTAAAATCATAAAACTAAGCTTTACAATTTCATCTTACCAAGACACATTATTGGAAGATATAGAGAAACAACTGATGTTAAATGTATTTCAAGTTGTCTGTTATGAAGAACTCATTTATTTATATTACAAGTTATCAAAATTTTTATATACTTTTTAGCCAAATAAATATTAGCACCAAATTGCATATTTTGCTTTTGATTAAAGTTGAAGTGAAAGATCGATCTACCTATATCATACTGTATGACCCATAAAAGCCTGATGTATCAAAGGTTGTGTAATTTGCATAATAATACAATTACCTTGCTTTTTTGTTTGACATATTTAGCTTATATGATTTATTATTTTGTTTATTTCCTGGAAAGGCCTTATATGGGCAATGATATACCTGTTACATAGGTATTTTATTCATAATACAATGAATATAACATTTGTATGAAGTGTTAAGTATTAACCCTGTAGTACTGTAAGTGTTTTGCTGGAGTCTTTTGTGTGCAGAAGAGGCTGTATAGAGTTCAATTTAAAGTCCCCCTGTGGTGAAAATCAAGTTTTTAATGTTGTTAACGTGTCTATGTGGTGTTTTTAATATGCTTTAAGTCAACACCATTGCTGAGTATTTTCTCTTTAAAACTGCAGTGAACCAAATACAGTCTCAAAAACGCGGTTTGAAATCGCTGGTGTTTCTGACGTCACAACAAACTACCTTGTAACCAATCAGATCAACGTGTGATCGTCAATGAGTGGATCTCTGAGCTGGTGTGAGTGAGCGGAGGCGGGGCTCATTTGCATAGTCATAGAACCGTGCATACTAAATGAGGCAAGTGTGTAAAGTTACATTCAAGCTATTTTAAGGCATGAAGAATTTGATTTTGTTTTTGTTTGTTTTTTTAATGTAATTTTGGTAAATCAAAGAGAACTCGCAGTTGCATGTATTGACTAGAGGGGGACTTTAAGGTCAAAAGGTTTTAGTCAGCTCTACATATGACTTGTGTAATCTCAAAGTAGAGAAGAAAACATACATTACAGCAACTTCATAAGTATTATGTGTCAAGTATGTTGCTGTGGATGAAAAGTGACCCAGACAAGAGGAGAGAATGCATAAAACTGTCTGAATTGGAGAGGTCACTAATATCTATATATATATTTCATAGATATAAACATACTAATATCTTTACATAATATCAGTGACGCCAACAGATTCTGCTCATGAACAACCTGAAGAGATTCTCCAGCACCAGAACTGATAGCTGATATGGCCTCGATTGAAAAATGTAAATTGATCAGTTGACTTTACTTAAAGGATTAGTTCACTTTTGAAAAAACTTTTGCTGATAATTTACTCACCCCCATGTCATCCAAGATGTCCATGTCTTTCTTTCCTCAGTCGAAAAGAAATTAAGGTTTTTGATGAAAACATTCCAGGATTTTTCTCCATATAATGGACTTCAATGGGAACCGGATGGTTCAGGTCCAAAAGATAGTGTTAATAACAGTTTCAGATGCAGCTTTAAATGTCTTTAAACGACACCAGACGATGAATAAGGGTCTTATCATGCGAAACGATCGGTTATTTCAAAGCTTATTCCAAAAATGTAACTTTTCTAAGGACCATATAATGGACTTCAATGGGAACCAAATGGTTCAAGGTCCAAAAGACACTTTCAGTGCAAACTGCAAACTTGTTCAAAGGGCTTTAAACGATTCCAGACGATGAATAAGGGTCTTATCAAGCGGAACGATCGCTCGTTTTATAAATAAATAACAAAGTTTAAGTTTTATAAGCTCAAACTCTCGCCTTGCTCTGTTCTGTGATGCGCGTTCGTGACTCTCCTGTTCGAACTCGTTCATCAAAATGAACAAATCTTTTTCAGAGTCATTTGGTTCATTCAATGAACGAAACGAACAAATCGACTCGGAAAAAGATTCGTTCATTTTGATGAACGAGTTCGAACAGGAGAGTCACAAACGTGCGTCACAGAACAGCAAGGCGAGCATGTGAGCTTATAAAACTTAAACTTTGTTAATTATTTATTAAATGAGCGATCGTTTTGCTTGATAAGACCCTTATTCATTGTCTGGAATCGTTTAAAGCCCTTAAAACAGTTTGCAATTTGCACTGAAACTGTCTTTTGGACCTTGAACCGTTTGGTTCCCATTGAAGTCCATTATATGGAGAAAAATCCTGGAACGTTTTCATCAAAAACCTTAATTTCTTTTCGACTGAAGAAAGAATGACATGGATATCTTGGATGACATGGGGGTGAGTAAATTATCAGCAAAAGTTTTTTTAAAAGTGAACTACTCCTTTAAGGCAATTGTTTCAAAAGTAAATAAACCATGTGTAATTAAAACATTATGCAAGATAAGTTCACATAACTTATTTTTTTCAATTACGCATGAAGTATATATATGAAAATATTTGAACCATGAGATTTTTCTGATTCTTATTTCATGTCAGGTTTTACAGGGTTAATGCTTTCTACTGAGATTCCTAAATCCTAATGGATTTAAGAAAACTCACAAAACACAACTACTAACCATTGTAAAAGGTATATATTAAGTTTTTATTATATTATAATATTGCTTGTTTCTAATACATTGATCAACAGATCTCAAAGGGGAAAAACAACAACAAATGAAATGTATATATTTTATAATATATCACAAATTATCAGACAATTCTTAAAATTATTAGTAGCAAAAAGCAATTGTAAGCCATTGGAAAATTGCATAGATCTGAAAAAAAAAAAAAAAAGACGACTAACTGATCTTCAGTTTCTGGAACTTAATGGCAAATGTGATTATTGATTTGATAATCCTTCAAGGCTATCATGCCAATGCATTAGTGCAGGCTTCATTAGCTAATCATTTGCTTCTCTGGTATACACCTTCTGCAGACAGGAAAATGAAATAAAACTCAACTCAATTATTATACTCATTATTGAAAAGGTTTATGGTTGGATATATCTACCCTGTAAATCTGTAATTGCAAATGCCTGGAATTAGTTTGTAATGATTGTGAAACAAATGGCCGGACCGACAGACAGTACAGTTACTGTCTCACAACTATTAATAACCTGCCAGACGGGAGTTTTTCCATCCATCTGTTATGTACGTGGTCTACAACCTTTTTTGACCATTACAACCATGCCGCGGAATATTGATGCTAAACGATATATCGTGCAGCCCTAGTTTAAATGTGCGAATAGTTAAATAAAGTGGTTGAGGAGTAGAATTTTTTTAGACCGATCAAACCAGCCAGTGATAGTGACATAAAAATGTAAACAAACCAAACTCCAGGTCTAGCACACTAGTCCACTTTCAAATTACAACCTTAACAAGGTACCGGTAGTTGAGATTAGCATAGTCACAGGTTGATTAAATATACATGATTAGAGAATACATGGGAATGGTCTTCAAGCTGGAGCTGCTCACCACATCTTGACATCCTTGAGCTCTAGATCTCCCGCAATCTCTAGCACATCCACACAATTCAGATCCTGCACACGGTGCTTGTAACTCAGCTGGTGGGACCCGTTTACTGCCACTTTAAACTCCTGGGCTTCACACAGGAGGATCATCTGCCATGGAAGAACACGAGGTAGAAGTCAGACACTATATTTGTCAGACATCAAAATATTTGATAACTAACGTCTGATACCTCAAAGTATTGACCAGGTGAGAAGGGAAAGCTAGAGAGGGAGAGCTCCTCGGACCCCCAGGAACCCCACAGGAAAGAGTTTCGGACGAAGGTTTTAGTTTTGAAACGAGGGTTTAAGTGAAAAGCAATGTCCTCCGAGTTACTGATGCGCAAGTTTACTGAGAAACTATGGGGATAAAGGAAGATATAGAAGACACCAATACACAATTTAAAGAGAAATGGGTTGAAAAATGCCAAAATGCATTAATTAAATATTATATCTATAATATTCCAGTGGTATTGCTGCTGGTTGGTTTCTTCTCATACCTCTTTGGGGAATCAGTGATTTGCCCCGTCACCATAATGGTGTCTCCTGGACGCAATCCTTTCGCAAGTTTGCTCCTAAAAGGAAGACTCTGGAGAGAAAAAGAAACACACCTGACAATGGTTTCAGATTCAGCAGGACAAAGAGTGCAATTTACCCAACCCAAAACCACCAGTGACACTGGATTTCATTGTGTTCACCAACCACAATATTAAATCACAGCTAGTATTACCAGTCACTTAAGGCTGGAATACACTACACAACTTTTAAAATTGAAACAGATATGCTGTTGTGGACATGTTGAGGATCACACACTGCTAGACTTTTCAAGTCGTTCCAACAACAACAAACTAACGCAGAACGTGGCCTCGTTGCTAGAAGGTGGATGACAAACGAAACAACACATGCTAAAATCTGCTCAAAATATCAAATATGTTGAAGGTATAATTCGCAGATTTCTGGGAAATCAGTAACAACTGGGTCTGGTCCAGAATGCAAAGTCGTGTAGTGTATTCAACCCTTAAGACAGAGGTCTTCAACCCTGCTCCCGGAGACCCGTTAACCGATGTCCTGCAGAGTTTAGCTCCAGCCCTAACCAAACACTCCTGAAGCAGCTAATCTAGTTCTTTAGGACAGAGATGGGCTGCATCCCAAATCACATACTTCCCATATAGTAGGCGAAAAACAGTATATGACAAAAGTAGTATGTCTGATGCTGCGTTCACGTGCTATGGAAAATAGGATATTTTCCACTTGTGAACTGGTATTTACCAGTGTGTTGCGTTCAAGTGCTTTTGTTGTCGTAATGTGGTCAAAAGATGGAGATCCAGACCGGTTATTTAGCTAAAACAGCCCGTTCTCATCCTTTAACGTCACATAAAAACGCTATATGCAAAAACGGCGCTATACTACGCACATGGCACCCTTTATCGTTAATATAACACATGAACCCAAGACGTTATAAATCCTTTAGCGTGAATATGACACGCACACCCTACCCCACACCTAAACTTAGCCCTCACAGCGCGTGTTATATTAACGATAACGGGTGCCATCATCTGCCATGTGCGTAGTATAGCGCCGTTTTTGCATATAGCGTTCTATATGACGTTAAAGGATGAGAATGCGTTGGTTAAAACTATTTTAGATTGCTGAAGTCATCTGCAACAGCAAGAAAATGATTTATCAAAACTCAAAAGGTAAATAATATGCTGTAGCCTATATTTTCTAGATCATGAATACTATATATTTTTTACCATTCACGACTCTCGCGGTGCTCTCCGCCATTTTTGAAAAGATCAAAGGTTATCTCATCTCGGCAACTCGTCCATCAAAATATTCTACGAGTTGCCCAGTGGAAAATACCACATGAGGGGGTGTTCATGTGCATTTTCCACGTCGGCTTTTGGTATTTACCATTATTACCATAGCACATCAACGCAGCATGAATTCACAGTACTCATAAAAGTGTAGAAAAACAGTAGCCGGATGACCTGCTACTTCTGGCAGGATTCTGAAGTGCGCATTCGATGGACACTTTACTATCCCATGAGGCCACGGGAGAGGATTTGTCAATGGCAGTGAAGCGACTGACGCAGATAATGCTGGGAGGCCAATAATGACAACATGGCAAATGTAGTACATCCAGATTACATTCATGTTATATAGAACATACTTGTTAAAGTACTTATTCAAAATAGGTACCTTCACTAGATTCAATCTTCAACCAGATGGAACTGGATAATATTCTGATTGTTACAAACCAATCGGACTTCTGACCTATAATCCTGCCTGAATTACAATCATACTCTGTTCGTTCATTGGCCAGAGGAGAACTGGCCCCCGACTGAGTCTGGTTTCTTCCAAGGTTTGTTTCTCCATTCTGTCACTGATGGAGTTTTGGTTCCTTGCCACGGTCACCTTTTCCACCTTTGCAGCCATTGTCTTGGCTTGTTTAGATGGGTTGTCTTGGCTTGCTAGATTTCCAACAATAATATTGATCTGCCTATTACACAAGAACTGAACTGAGCTGGACGATGACATCAGGGTTTATATATATATACACACACACACACACACACACACACACTCACCTAAAGGATTATTAGGAACACCACACTAATACTGTGTTTGACCCCCTTTCACCTTCAGAACTGACTTAATTCTACGTAGCATTGATTCAACAAGGTGCTGAAAGCATTCTTTAGAAATGTTGGCCCATATTGATAGGATAGCATCTTGCAGTTGATGGAGATTTGTGGGATGCACATCCAGGGCACGAAGCTCCCGTTCCACCACATCCCAAAGATGCTCTATTGGGTTGAGATCTGGTGACTGTGGGGGCCATTTTAGTACAGTGAACTCAATGTCATGTTCAAGAAACCAATTTGAAATGATTCGAGCTTTGTGACATGGTGCATTATCCTGCTGGAAGTAGCCATCAGATGATGGGGACATGGTGGCTATAAAGGGATGGACATGGTCAGAAATAATGCTCAGGTAGGCCGTGGCGTTTAAACGATTCCAAATTGGCACTAAGGGGCCTAAAGTGTGCCAAGAAAACATCCCCCACACCATTACACCTCCACCACCAGCCTGCACAGTGGTAACAAGGCATGATGGATCCATGTTCTCATTCTGCTGCATACCTCGGTTGTAACGAGTGGTTATTTCAGTCAAAGTTGCTCTTCTATCAGCTTGAATCAGTCGGCCTATTCTCCTCTGACCTCTAGCATCAACAAGGCATTTACTTACTTACGCTGGACTGTTTCTTCTGAAAACAAACTTTTTTGCATTATTTTCCTGTTATCTCTGTAAAGCTGCTTTGAAACAATCTGTATTGTAAAAAGTGCTATATAAATAAATGTGACTCGAGAAAAGAGTATGTGATTTCGGACGCAGCCATGCCATATTATTGGGAGATACGAGGGTCCCTGGCTCTGCCATTGTAGAAAGCTTAACGTTTGTGCCTTAAAAATCACATTCACATTCGTTCAGTTGTGCGACAGTCAGTCACAGCTTGTGGATACCATAGAAATCAATGTTAGTTGCCGTAAACTGAATGCAACCTATCGCAAAATTGTCTAAAAACTAAAAAAAATAGATAAATCCAAAACGAATATTTAATGGAGGACATGTTGAAGATTAGCCTATAGGCTGCCAATTCATTAAATGATAAGCTGGTTGGAAGCAGGTTGGATATAAACTTTGCAGGATAAAGTCAGTGGGTCAGAAGCAAGGCTGAAGATCTCTGCCTTAAGATTCCAAGTGCATTGCAATACTGTATGGTTACTAAGGTGTTGCTAAGGCATCGGTTAGGGTGTTTTAGGTGGATCCCAGGGCATTATTAGCTGGTTGTTAGAGTTTTCCGGCAATTGATCCCAAAGCCACACTGTAGGAACAGAAACCAAGCCATTGACAAAATGTCATCTCCTTCATCATGGTTGGTTAGAACAAATTTCAGATTTGCATGGAAGAAATTATCAAATCACATCTGGTTAGGTTAGGTCATGGTATACATTTAAAAGGATAGTTCACCCAAAAATAAAAATTCTGTCAGTATTTACTCAACCTCATGTTGTTCCAACCCCGTAAGACCTTCGTTCATCTTCGGAACAGAAATTAAGATATTTTCGATTAAATCTGAGAGCTGGATCACTCCCTCCATACTAGTCCATAGGCTTATTCAGGGATTGAAACTTGCCAGCCCCGAAAAGTTATTAAAGACATTGTTAAAATAGTCTAAGTGACTACAGTGGCTCAATCTTAACTTTATCAAGCGACGAGAATACTTTTTTGCGCAAAAACAAACAAAAATAACTATTTATTTCCTTCTCTTTGGGCATCTTCTTTGTTCAGACACCAAAGAAGATCTCTTTGGTGTCTGAACAAAGAACTTTATGAAAAAACATGAAATGCCAGTTGGCAAAAATATGTGAATGGTTTTGGCAAGCATGTAAATTCTGTCTCTCTTCTTCTTCAGTGTGACATGTGAGTGTCAGAAGCCTTGTGTATTTCTATTTTTCAATAAGCGCCATCTACTGTCAGGGAGTGAATTTGCACGTTTACTACGTGCATCGGCAGTAGAAATTGCTTGGGTCAAAAAACGTCTTCATAAACGCTGGCGATAAGCACATGAGATAATCATGATGACAAAATGTTCATTTTGGGTGTACTATCCCTTTAAGTATGACTCCCAACAATGAGCAACAGTTATAGTGAGACTTGTTAACAATAAGACACTTTATACACCATTTCTTGATTTTGTAGTTTTCGTAAAAATTCCTGATCAGCAAGGCGCTTGCTGTAAAGACTTGATTTAGGGGTCAAAGTGACCAAATAATGCCACTGTCCTGGTTTCTGTCCAGACTGTGAGGCACCCACTTCAATTGATTTCAATCACTCTGAAATCAAGTTATCCAGTTTGGTCTGTAGTCAAAAGTACTGCTGCCACATAAAACCTGCCGTCGAATGCAAAAACAACAACTTGCCCTTTAGGAAAATTATCCAGCCTGACATGTACTCACCATGTCACCTGACTCCGAAATGACTGACTATTGGATGAAAGAGGAGGGGGATATTATGATTAAACAGCTTCAGCTAAATTGACTATTTGACTGCAAAATATCTATTTGACTGCAAAATAGATATACACATCACTTCACTAACACACGTATACACACATGCTACTGTGCAAAAGTTTGGGGCACAGAAATGTATTTATTTTGATAAATGAATGATAAATGAATATATATACACACACACACACACACACACACACACATATATATATATATATATATATATTAGGGCTGTCAAACGATTAATCGCGATTAATCGCATCCAAAATAAAAGTTTGTGTTTCCATAATATATGTGGGTTCACTGTGTAGAATTATTATATATATATATATATATATATATATATATAAATACATGCTTGTATATATTTAAGAAATATTTTCATGTATATACTTTATATAGATTTATATATAATCTATATTATATATAAATATTTTATATATAAATAATACTTTTTCTTAAATATACATGCATGTGTGTGTATTTATATATATATATATATATATATATATATAAATAATTATACACAGTGCACCCACATATATTATGGAAACACAAACTTTTATTTTGGTGTACACAACATCAGCATAGTCACTTACATAAGGGAGTGATCTTTTGCTCACAGCGACGTTTGTAGGTGTCATGGGGTTCTGAAAAAAATATCACATCATCATGTTTCCATCCAACCACATCATAAAGAGTAAATGTGCTGATCAAATAAACCGTGTGTGCATCATGACCTACAGTCTACAATTGATCTATTACTATTCTTTACATATAACCATTCTATATTGACAGTATTTGTGCATATGTAGTATCTGTCAATCCTGTCAATCTGCCAGTTTTCAGGCTACTTTAATGCAAATGCAAACATGTTCTTTAAACCTTAGGAATTCTGATAAAAAGAAAAAGCACGTTACCTTACTCACTGAACTGGGAATGAACCCAATGGCCTGGATCTGAACCTTCCCTGATATGGCCAGCGTGTCCACCTTCTTGAGCTCTAACCTGTGCCTGTACTCCAGCAGATGAGAGCCGTTTACCGCCACCTGGAGGAGATTGAACAAACTATATGCTTATTTTAAAAACAAACGAGTCATTTGTCAAATCACAAAGCATTTTTCTTTTCTTTTTCTTCCTCTTCTTATGAAGAACAAACAAACTCATGTTTCAGAGTGCCATCAACTGAAAGCATGTGAAATAAAAACATGATGGGAAATATGGAATCACAGCACTAGAAATACTTATCTAAAATAGTCCATTAACTCTACTTTTATATTTAATGTGTGAGAATAAAATACAACCTCCATAGAATTATATATAGCTCCTAGAAGGACAGTGATGGACACAATATGAGATGGGAGTAAAAATGTTATTTCAGTGCTTTAGTGTTTGCTTGTGAAAATTTTGCATTCCCTTGAGAAAGTTAGCAAACCTTTTGCGTTCTCTCAAAAACTTTCCTAAAGAAAAACTTTTAATTTGCTCACAAAATACATTAAAAATACAGTTTTTCCTTCCATCTCATATTATTTCCATCATCAATTATGCCCAACCCTGAAACCAAACAGTTTTGCGAGTGAATGTAAATACTTTGAAGTTAAACTGCCCCATCTCCTTTAATTACCACATTACATTGATGAGATTTTAATCATATTTCTGAAATCATGTCTTTTTTCGACTGAAAAGATGGGCGAGACACATATTTTGAGAGTTCACATAAAAATGAAAAGTCTGTCATCATGTTGAAGAATGTCAGTAGCCAAAGAGTTGACTTCCATTAAAAAAAAAAAAAAAATTCTACTATGGAAGTCAATGGTGTCCATCAACTGTCTAGTTACCAACATTCTTCAAAATATCTTCTTTTGTGTTCAGCAGAAGATAGAAATTCATACAGGTTTGGAACAACTTGAGGGTGAATAAATTATGACAGAATTTTCATTTTTTTAACTCAACTATTGCTTTAAACTTCATTGACCTCCTTGAACTGAAATATTCGAAACACTGAATTAAAGCGGCAGTATTTTTAATACATTCATTTCATCTGTAACAAAGAACAAGCAGTATCTGCTTTTGCTAAGTTGCACAGATCTCTATTCCACTGTGAGAGTGTTTTTCTCCCCTGACTGCAGCCGCCTACTCTCGTCTACATTCAAGGTGTCTGTCTGGCATCTCAAACACCTCTGATGTTTCTGTATTTCACTTTGGGGGACAGCTTACCTGCTGCATATTAAAGAGATACTACAGGAATTAGCATTAAGAAAACCTGTAGTATTTTCTAATTAGCATGCTTTCCACCCTCATATCCCCCTGAGATGAGAGATTTATGTATTTTTTGTCTGGAAAAAATCCTCAGATAACACAAAAATCGTCATTTTTCATCATCGGACGATTTTTTTGGCCAGAGGCTAAAGACTACAGTCAGTAGTAGGGTCTGTCCCGCATGTTCTCAAACCGCCCAAAGAGGGCGATCTCACTCACAGAACGAACACACAGTGTCAGCCATCTTTTTTTGGAAGCTAAGCTAGCAGGCTCTTGTTCTGTGGAGAAAGCTGAGTAGTAGGGGTTACCATCCTCTTTTTCCCGGACATGTCCAGCCGTCGATGTCCGGGATTCAGCTTTTGCTTTCTGCAGTCGCCGTTCAATGTTTACATGCACAGCTCTTGTTTCAATCTAACTGAATTCATTCTGATTGGTGAATCTGAATGTAGTGTTTACATGAACGCTAAACTAGTGATCGGTTGATGTGCGTTTTAACATTGCTAAGAAAATTCCCGCTCCTCCGTGAGCAATACAAGACCAGTGGATCTCACAGGTGTCGCTCATCGGTAATCACGCCACCGGCCTCGCGCCGTTCTCCCGCGGCCCTCACTCGTCCTGCTCGCCACAGTAAACATGATGAATGGCGACTGTAAAACGCAAAAGCCGAATCCCGGACATTTTGGGCGATCTCGAAGCACATTTTCGGGCAGACTCATCACGAGACTCACTAGTAGCCTAGACTTGTTGTTTAACGACTGCGCTCTGTTACCGGTAGGCGTGGCCTCCTAGGGCAGCGAAGCAAGTGCATTCTGGGAGTTGCACCTTTAACATCCAAAAATGACCCACTTCACCTTTAACTCTGCACATACAGCTAATATATAGTTGATAATTTATCATTTCAAACCAGAGAATGAGATTAAAGCTGACGTCATATGTCACCAGAGGTAGATGCCACTGAACAGAGGCGGCAAAGTAATAAAACGCAAGTTTATGACCTTGAACAAATCTTTCTGTACGAGTATGATGATCTCAAAGGCAGCGCCGTGCCTGAAGGGCATCAGGTAGTGGATCTCCTCTTTTCCCCAGCTCTCGTTCTGCAGCGTGTTACAGACGACGCAGGGGGAGCGCTTGAAGCGAGGATTGAAATGAAAAGCCACATCTGCCCGAGGCTTCACGCTGCTCCCGCAGGTCAGGTCCACCTGGAACCTGCAAGATAGTTTACAGATTCTCAACGTGGATCCCATTCAAACGTGATTTGAACATATCCACAAGTTTCCGAGGGGCGCTCCTGTAAAAAATAAAGTGGGTGAAACTTCCGGTGAGGCGGCGGAATTAGCATTCCAATGGTATTTTGTGTGTTAGTTAGCGAAGAGGCTAGCTGTTTTTCGGAGAATTATTTTACTATTTAAAGACGCAAATCTTTATGAGAGATGTCGTTACGGAGCTCAGGGACAACATGTGCTGTTCGCGGTTGTATGTATAACCGGACTAAACTAATTTAGTGGCTTAAACGTGATTGTTTTGAACATAAGCCGAAAACGAAATCAGAGTGATCCTGCCAACGACTGTAGTTTCCATCACCTCCCAAAAGACGACGAATCTTCCTGTGTACATTTGTTTAAATTCTTAATATTCTATAAACTCTATCAGCATGTGATTGGCTGTTCGCTACTGATGTTACACCTAAACTCAGGATCAAAGCCTGTGTTGACAGAATACCAAATGTGCCAGTTAATGTATTCAAGCAGCACATTCATTTATAATTTTGAATAAACTCCAAAGCACAATGACTAAGTGTGTATTTTTTATTTTAATTGTTTGTCAGCTCGCACAACTGTCTGTCAACATGCCTTGATCAGTATTGATTATTAATAATGTTATTATAATACTCCCAATCAACTACTGCGGAGGGTAAAGGTACTTTCACCCTTTTGAATTTCGTTGAGGTTGTGTTCCCACATCGTTAGCTAGTTTGGATCGCTATAGACCATTTCACAAGATGTAAACAACACTGGTCCAGAAGCACTTCCTGTTTCAGTTTGTAAGTGTTTTCTTTATTTCACATGTAAAGAAAAAATCTTAAAGATGTTTGTTTAACTTTTTGATTCAGTTTTAAATGTTCTGTTGGTTGTATTTTATCCCAGCTTTTATGTAGTGTTAAAAAGAGAAACAGGAAGTGCTTCTGGACCAGTGTTGTTTACATCTTGTGAAATGGTCTATAACTTGAATGACTGTCAACTGTTGAATGAACGAGTGTCAAGCATGTCAAATCGGTCAAATCGCGCTTTGTTTACTTCCAACCGGAAGTCGCGCCCACTTTTGACGCAAGGCCTCATGGGGCGTAGGAAACTTGTGGATACAAGTGTGTTTCAACAGATTTCAACCGTATTCTTTTTGTTATATGGTTGTTATTAACCATCTTGGAAACTTTGACTGTCATCTTTTATTTTTATGAATAGATTTTTTCAATAGATTTTATTGTTTTTTTCAGCCCAGACTTTCAATCTTAACATATGGCAGTGACTGATGATCTAAGCAAAGAATAAAATAAACTACTTTCCAAAAACTGTTCCTCAGCTCTACCATAATTTTTAATTTGACCATTGTACCACTAATAAAGTTTTTTCAAACATTACTGTACTTGGTTACTGAAGAGACAATGGTATAAATGATAAGCAAGATGGAGATGAGGAAAATTAAGATTACATTATGTGAAAATATCAAGGTAAAATTCTAGCCATGAAATTAGGCAAAAGAGTTTGAAATTTCAGTAACACTTTAGTTTAGGGTCCAATTCTCACTATAAACTAGTTGTTTATTAGCATGCATATTACTAGGATATTGTCTGTTTATTAATACTTATAAAGTACATATTAATGCCTTATTCTGCATTACCATATTCTACATCCCTTAATCGAACCCAATACCTGAACTTAACAACTATTAATAAGTTGTAATTAGGAGTTTATTGAGACAAAAGTTGTAGTTAATAGTTAGTTCATATATTGAGAATTGGACCCTAAACTAAAGTATGTATAACTAAAAGTATAACTAAAGTTCATCACATAATGTTCTCAAACACTGGAATTGACACGAGATATGTTTAAAAATGAAATAAAGCTTTTGATATTTTTATTTCCACTGTGAGAGTTAGTTGATTGTAAAAGTGTGTAAAAATATATTTTAAGGGCCAAAAACAGCCATGAAAAAAAGTTTGTGCTTCTATAATCTCTTATTATTGATATAATATTTCCCTGCATGACTAAAGTCTGCATATTCAATATAAAGAGGCTTATAACTATAACTAGAAAGACTCCTTCAACCTCAACTGTTACAGGGCTACCTCAAGTACTTTATGTCTAGGGACTGCAGTGACATGTACAGGGTTAGTTCATCCAAAATGTCATTTTTTATTTTAAAAATGATACTGTCATTTACTCACCCTCAAGCCATCGTAGCTTTATATGAGTTTCTGGGTTATATAAAAAAATCCTGGCTCTCCAAAGCTTTATAATGGTAGTGAATAAAGCCTGAGATTCAAAAAAGTGCATCCATCCATCATAAAAGTAATCCATACGCCTCCAGGGGGTTAATAAAGGCCTTCTGAAGTGAAGCAATGGTTTTTTGTAAGAAGAAATATCCATATTTAAAACTTTTAAAACTATAATCACTGGCTTAACGGACGTACGCAAGTCTAGGTCTGCTGGAAGAGTGACCTCTGACCCTAAACTGTGCTTCAGAAGGCCTTTATTAAACAGTCACATGGATTACTTTTATGATGGATCATGGATGCGCTCTTTTGGGCTTCAAAATATCAGGCTCACTCCCATAGTCCCATTATGAAGCTTGAAAGAGCCAGGGTAATTTTTAATATAACTCTGAAAGAAGAAAGTCATATACGGTACACATAGGATGGCTTGAGGGTGAGTAAATTATGGGATTATTTTCATTTTTGGAAGAACTAACCTTTAAGGTGGAAAGGATATCGAGGTTGTTCGTGTTCTCACCTGTCGGAGTCACTGGGAACACTGCCCTGGATGAGCACCATCTCTCCGGGATGAAGTCCGCCCAGGATGGTCCCAGCATAAGGAATCGTCTACAGGCAGAAATTGGGACATGAGACACAATGACTCAGTTTGTCCTACCTTATTATAAGTCAACACCATACAACAACGCTTTCATTGACAGATAAGCAGTAGTGACCCATAAGCAAAAAGTATAAGAAAGTTAGAGTATATCATACTGGATTCGTTATTGTTTGTTTCGCATTTGCTACAGACATATTGACGATGCTGTGCTGTTTTTACGAGTTAATCACCAGCTGAGGAAGAAAATATAAACGCATACTACTACACTTTCACTTCCGCATTTGTCGTTCAGTGACCAATAAAAGCGCGATATGAGCGCGACGCGTTTGCTGACCAATCAAAGCGCCATATATGAGCCCAACGCGTTCAGTGACCAATCAAAGCGCGATATGAGCCCAACGCGTTCAGTGACCAATCAAAGCGCGATATGAGCCTAACGCGTTCAGTGACCAATCAAAGCGCGAAATGAGTACGACGCGTTCAGGGACAAAAATTAAATTTTCGTTTTCTAATAATGAAATATAAATACTTGATATAAATGACATAATTTCAGATATGTGCATGCACTGTTCTTGAATCAGTGAGCTCACGTTTACCTCTTGCGTGTCTGTATAAAGAACAGTGACATAAAGAGGAGTTTCACTTGAAGTTCGATCGGAGCACATGACGCGGAAGTAGCTGCACATAAACATCAAGATGTCAGGCTTCAGCAGAAGATCATAGTCATTCATCAAACCATGCAAACATACACTCTGCTGGTCACTATCTCCTGTATTTTTGGGTGCTCTGCTCAGTTTTATGTTATAGATGATCGGATTGGATTAGGGAGGGAGTTTGATGGAATTGGTGGATTAAGCGGAGGAGGAGTAAGTGAAGTTTTGTTCACTTTTTAAAGTGTTTTTACATATATGTGTGTGTGGTGTCGGGGGTTGCGGTTGACAAACTGTCAAACTGACAAACTTTTGTTCTCAGGCCACTTCGAGACTTCTTGTCAACTATGAAGAACCGTATCGGAGTCAGATATTGGATTTCTTATTCAAGGTATTGGGTCACGTGAGCCACAGATGTGTGACATTAAAAGAAGACATTTTTTTTTTTTTTTTTTAATAATCGAATGTGTTGTTATTATGTTTTTGGTTTGGTTTTATTCAGCCCAACTTTGGAGCTTCACTGCACATCTTAAAGGTAGAAATAGGAGGCGACGGTCAAACTACAGGTAATACAGTGAATCTGTTGTATGTCTGACTTGTCCTGATCTATTCATTTATATAATGCATTAAATCAAAGATTTGAAACACTTTTTCTAAAATAAATATGTTTTTGACTTCTGATTTAAAATTAATTTAGGTGGAGCATAAAGGATAAAGTAAAATATATCAGTGTGTGTGTATATATATATAGGCTATCACTATCATAATGGGAACAAAGGCTATTTAAAAGAATAGAAAAGAATGAAATTCCTGACAAGAAACCCATAATTAGTAGTTTGGCAAAATATTCGCTGTTAATGGCCACATGAGTCGAGTCATATGATGCGAGTCATGTGATACCAACATGACAAATACAAAAAAAAAAAAAAAAAAACATAAAACAATGATAAAGAGGTGTTCATTCCTGAAATTCTCTTACATTTGACCTGTTCATGACAAATCAAGGTTTATTCAGGTCATAAAATGCCCCCCCCCCCCCCCAAAAAAAAATAGATCTGTAAATTTAAAAATTGTGCAATATATACACTTTTATCAAAAATAACAATTAAGATGTGTATATTATTTAAGAAACAAAGCATCTATTTACATTAAGTGCAAATAGCCCGCTTTGTTGGCAAAGGCTTTTTTGCATGAACTCCACTATTGTCTTCTAGTTTGAGCCAAACAAAATGACAAAAGAAATGCATCCGGTAAAGGAGCAGTGAAAAATGAATCCGGTAAAGTAGCAGTGGTTGGATAGGAAGGACAGTAGAGTTCAATGGAGCATTTGATGCAACCGACCTGAGTTTAAAACCCCCTTTTTCAGACCCTATTCTTCTCCGTAAACATAAACAAACAACGTTTTGACTTTATTGTTGCAGTGAATTATGCATATAGTGTAAGTACTAGTAATATTAATAAACTACATGTACTGTAGTCTGGTTTAGGGTTAGTTGCGTGCAATTGCATTTGTAACAAGGACACTGTAAAAAGAAAAAAAGTGTTACCTAAAGCTGATGGTAACACTTTTTTAAAAAAAATGTCGTTGTTACACGTGTTGCTTGTGCATGCATTATGAGGTATTGCATGCAACTAAGCCAAAACCAAACTACAGTAAGTAGTAGTGCATGTAGTAAATTTATATTACTTAGTACTTATATGTATAATTACACTGTAACAAGGACAACTTAAAGTCAAACCGGCACTTTTAGAATATTTAGAATACTTTTTTGTTACCATGCTGTTGATGCCGTGGCTCCCTTCCTGTGGCTTCAAGGACATCTTTATTGATCATTATTGGCAGGTGCAGGTGCTGGTGTTAAAGAGAAAGGGACAAGTTAGTTCACAATAAGGAAGCATCCATTTATGATTTTAATAAATATAATCATATTAGGTATCCTGAATATGTTGTTGTTATTACATACTGGTTTATAATGTACTACAGTACACTGAGGTACAAATAGTATAAATAGCAAAATTATAATTAGCATCTAACTACAAATATTTACACTCAGTGCAAAGAAAATACGGTTACACTTTATTTGAAGGTGTGTTTACTCTAATAGTACTGAGTAATATTAACTACATGTACTTATTATAGGGTTAGGGTTTGGTTTAGGGTTTGATACTTGTAATCATGCATAATTTACTGTTATTACTATAGTAAGTTACATGTAACTACGTCACCTTAAAATAGTGTTCACGAAAATAGTGTTTTACACGTGTTTTAATTAAGAAAATTGTAACTTTTGATTGACCCAATGATAGAGATGCAAAGATAGTGTGTGGTTATTATTACAACTATACACAAGTTTCCTACGCCCCATGAGGCCTTGCGTCAAAAGTGGGCACGACTTCCGGTTGGAAGTAAACAAAGCGCGACTTGACATGCTTAACACTCGTTCATTCAACAGTTGACAGTCATTCAAGTTATAGCGATCCAAACTAGCTAACGATGTGGGAACACAACCTCAACGAAATTAAAAAGGGTGAAATAACAGTACCTTTACCCTCCGCAGTCGTTGATTGGGAGTATTATAATAACATTATTAATTATCAATACTCATCAAGGCATGGTGACAGACAGATGTGCGAGCTGACAAACAATTAAAATAAAAAAATACACACTTAGTCATTGTGCTTTGAAGTTTATTCAAAATTATAAATGAATGTGTTACTTGAATACATTACTGGCACATTTGGTATTCTGTCAACACAGGCTTTGATCCTGAGTTTAGGTGTAACATCAGTAGCGAACAGCCAATCACATGCTGATAGAGTTTATAAAATATAAAGAATTAAAAAAATGTACACAGGAAGATTTGTCGTCTTTTGGGAGGTGATGGAAACTAACGTTACAGTCGTTGGCAGGATCAGAGACGGGCTCTGGCAGGATCACTCGTTTTCAGCTTATGTTCAAAACAATCACGTTTAAGCCACTGAACTAGTTTAGTCCGGTTATACATACAACCGCGAACAGCACATATTGTCCCTGAGCTCCGTAACGACATCTCTCATAAAGATTTGCGTCTTTAAATAGTAAAATAATTCTCAGAAAAACACCTAGCATCTTCGCTAACTAAAATACCATTGGAATGCTACTTCCGTCGCGTCACCGGAAGTTTCACCCACTTTATTTTTTACAGGAGCGCCCCTCGGAAACTTGTGGATAAACACATAATTATAAATATATTTCACACTTAGAAATATTTTAGACTAAAACAAACAGTTGTACAATTACCAGTCTCAGCAATTTAGGTTTCCTGAAACACTATTTAGAAACTTCAAGTTTGGATTACTGACTTTTATCTTCCCATTTGATTGACAGATGGCACAGAACCCTCTCACATGCACAGTAAGGATGAAGGGAATTTTTATCGGGGATATGAGTGGTGGCTTATGAAAGAAGCTAAGAAGAGAAATCCAAACATCAAGCTGATAGGTAATCTATTTGTTCCATACTGAATTTGCCATTTACACTCACCTAAAGGATTATTAGGAACACCTGTTCAATTTCTCATTAATGCAATTATCTAATCAACCAATTACATGGCAGTTGGTTTAATGCATTTAGGGGTGTGGAATGTCAGAATGGGAAAGAAAGGTGATTTAAGCAATTTTGAGCGTGGGATGGTTGTTGGTGCCAGACGGGCCGGTCTGAGTATTTCACAATCTGCTCAGTTACTGGGATTTTCACACACAACCATTTCTAGGGTTTACAAAGAATGGTGTGAAAAGGGAAAAACATCCAGTATGCGGCAGTCCTGTGGGCGAAAATACCTTGTTGATGCTAGAGGTCAGAGGAGAATGGGCGGACTGATTCAAGCTGATAAGAGCAACCTTGACTGAAATAACCACTCGTTACAACCGAGGTATGCAGCAAAGCATTTGTGAAGCCATAACACACACAACCTTGAGGCGGATGGACTACAACAGCAGAAGACCCCACCGGGTACCACTCATCTCCACTACAAATAGGAAAAAGAGGCTACAATTTGCAAGAGCTCGCCAAAATTGGACAGTTGAAGACTGGAAAAATGTTGCCTGGTCTGATGAGTCTCGATTACTGTTGATTCAGACGGTAGAGTCAGAATTTGGTGTAAACAGAATGATGACATGGATCCATCATGCCTTGTTACCACTGTGCAGGCTGGTGGTGGTGGTGTAATGGTGTGGGGGATGTTTTCTTGGCACACTTTAGGCCCCTTAGTGCCAATTGGGCATTGTTTAAATGTCACGGCCTACCTGAGCATTGTTTCTGACCATGTCCATCCCTTTATAGCCACCATGTCCCCATCCTCTGATGGCTACTTCCAGCAGGATAATGCACCATGTCACAAAGCTCGAATCATTTCAAATTGGTTTCTTGAACAGGACAATGAGTTCACTGTACTAAAATGGCCCCCACAGTCACCAGATCTCAACCCAATAGAGCATCTTTGGGATGTGGTGGAACGGGAGCTTCGTGCCCTGGATGTTCATCCCACAAATCTCCATCAACTGCAAGATGCTATCCTATCAATATGGGCCAACATTTCTAAAGAATGCTTTCATCACCTTGTTGAATCAACGCCACATAGAATTAAGGCAGTT